AATTCAACTTTACATTCGGTTCTTTAGACGGTTGACCAACAGTCAACTTATTTTCTTTCTTTTCAAAATGATTTAGGTGTTACGGGTTTCTCATTAACTCTTTGACCACCGGTCAAACCAATTTAGACTTTCACGAAAGTCAAACCACTTAACATTTAATGCCTATGACGGAGATAGCCTCAATCCGTAATACCGAAGATAGCCTCAATTCGGTGGAGGTAGGATCCCTCGGGCGATAGCCTCAAACCCAAGATCACAGACCCTCGTGCGCACGTCTTAACCTCACTGACCAGGCCCTGCAGCCGCCCGAGCAATGGCCAGTTTCTATGTTCAACATAATGAACCAATTGACCCTAATTACCGATTAGAATTAATTAATTAACTTAATTAATTCATTAAAGTCATGGATTTAACCATCCGGTCAAACCTACGTCAACAGAATATCCAGTCAAAGTCCAAGTCAAACAGGACCTAACCCAAGTCAAAGTCAAACCTGTTCAGTCAATCCATAATCCTCAACAATACAATTCAAGTAATCAATTTAATTCAATTAACCAATTTAGCCAAATTATAGCATAAACACATATAACGATCCAAACCATTAAATCTATTCTAAACGCTATTAACTTCATAGTACGGACCTGGATTACGCCGAAATCGAATCGATAGCTCGAACGGAAGACAAATCGACGAAATCAAACGAACGGGTCAAATTGAGTCAAACTACGAAATCGACCAATCAATCCGGCGTGGAGGTTAATCTGCCGGCGATATCAGTCCGGGGCAGCGGCTGGATGCGGCGACGGTGGCGGACGCCGGCGACAGTGGCGTAGCGGCAGCTCGACGGCGATGAGCAGCGACTAGCGGCGCTGCAATTCGACGGCGAGGAAGGACGCCGGCAGTGGAGGCGACGTCTAGCGCTCGGCGTGGCGGCGCTGCACCCGACGGCGATGATGGCGGACTTCCGGCGAAGGTGAAACAGCGGCGCTGCACTTGACGGCGATGATGGCCGCTGTGCTAAGGGCGACGGCGGCTGGAGGCTTGGCGACGGTGCAACTCGGCGGCGCTGGACCTAGCAGCGGGCGACAGAGCTGCGGCGATTGGCTGGAGAAGGGCGACCGGCGATGAGCGGCGTCTGGCTCGGGCGAAGCCGGCATGGTCAAACGGGGATGACCGGCGGCGATTGAAGACGAAGAAGGAGAAGAAGAAGAAGAAGAAGAAGAAGAAGGAGAAGAAGAAGAAGAAGAAAGAAGATAACGATCGTGTGGTTGATAATAGGTTTAGGTTTTATTTATTAATTCCAATACTAGTGGTTTGGGCTCTGGGCCCAAAATACCTTATTAAATGGTCATAACATGAGTTCCATAACTCCGATTCGCGAGCCGTCTGAACCGACACGATCACAAAAATGTTTCCTACGAGATGACATAAAAGTTGGGCTTAGAATCCAAATTATAATTTTAACCCCTTTTTGGGCCCAATTCGTAATCAATTGCTCTAACAATTTAATTAATTCTTTTGGGCCAGATTTCGGGGCATTACATTTCTCCCCCCCTTAAAAAGAATTTCGTCCTCGAAATTACCTGAGTCATTGGTCGCCGAAGAGATGAGGGTACTGAGTTCGCATAGATTCTTCAGTCTCCCAGGTTGCTTCTTCCACCGCATGATTACGCCATAGTACCTTTGCCAAAGGTACCGTCTTGTTTCTTAGTACTTTAGTTTCGCGCGCCAAGATCTTAACTGGTTCTTCTTCGTAAGACAAACTCTCATCGAGGGTTACAGCATTGGTCGGCAACACATGGGTCGGATCTGAACGGTATCTACGTAGCATGGAGACATGAAAGACGTCGTGAATCCTGTTCAACTCTGGTGGCAACTCTAACCTGTAAGCAATAGGTCCTATTCGCTCCAGAATGCGGTAGGGTCCAATGAATCTAGGGCTAAGCTTCCCATCTTCCCGAACCGTAGGACCTTCTTCCAAGGTGAAACCTTCAAGAATACCATGTCACCAACATTGTACTCTATGTCTCGTCTCTTTAAGTCTGCATAAGATTTCTGTCTGTCCGAAGCAGTGCGGAGTCAGTCTCTGATCACACGAACCTTTTCCTCGGTTTCCTGCACAATATCTGGTCCCTCGAGCTTACGCTCGCTAAGCTCCATCCAACAAATCGGGGTTCGGCACTTTCTGCCGTAGAGTGCCTCATACGGAGCCATCTGAATACTCGCCTGGTAACTATTATTATATGCAAACTCCATCAACGGCAAGTAACGCTCCCAATCTTCTCCAAAGTCGATCACACAAGCTCGCATCATATCCTCGACAATCTGTATCACCCTCTCAGACTGGCCATTGGTCTGAGGGTGAAATGCCGTACTAAGGTTCAAAGCTGTGCCAAAGGCCTTCTGAAGTCCTCTCCAGAACATCGAAGTGAACCGGGGATCTCTATCAGATATGATTGACAGCGGTGCACCGTGCAACCGAACTATCTCTCTAACGTATAAGTCTGCCAATTTGTCCAATGAGGAGTCACGTCTGACGGGTAGAAAATGAGCGGACTTTGTCAACCTGTCAACAATGACCCAGATGGCGTCATTCTTTCGTGAAGATCGTGGCAATCCGATCACAAAGTCCATAGTGATCCTTTCCCACTTCCATTCCGGAATGGTAGGAGGGTGCAGCAACCCTGTCGGAACCTGGTGCTCAGCCTTGACTTGCTGACAAGTCAAACAGCGCGCAGTGAACTCGGAGATTTCCTTTTTCATAGCTAGCCACCAATAGGATTTCTTCAAATCCTGATACATCTTGTTACTACCCGGGTGCATAGTGTATACGGTTCCGTGAGCCTCGCGCAACAAGCGATCCCTCACTCCACCACGGGGCACCACTAGGCGTTCACGATAGTACAAGACTCCGTCACCGCGAATTGCAAACTCGGGCCTCTTTCCTGTAGGAACTAACTCTCGAGTCTTCTGACAAAACTCATCATCTCTCTGTGCTGTACGGATCTCCTACTCTAACGGAGACTGAAGCTGTAGCTCGGCTAACGATTTCCTGCTCAAAGCATCGGCCACGATGTTAGCCTTGCCCGGGTGATACTCAATGACTAAATCGTAATCCTTGATCAGCTCCAACCATCGCCGTTGTCTAAGATTCAGTTCCTTCTGGGTGAGTAGGTACCTCAAACTCTTGTGGTCGGTGAAGATGTGAATCCTCTCTCCAAAGATGTAGTGGCGCCAAATCTTCAAGGCGAACACCACGGCTGCCAACTCTAAATCATGTGTCGGGTAGTTCTCCTAGGGAGTCTTCAACTGTCTCGATGCGTAGGCCACTACCTTACTCAACTGCATCAGTACACAACCTAAGCCGCTATGAGATGCGTCACTATAGATGGTATACTCGATGCCAAGAGTAGGTTGAATCAAGACTGGTGCCTAGGTCAGGCACTCCTTCAGTTGATCAAAACTGCGTTGGCACGCTTCTGTCCACTCAAATTTGATGTCCTTCTGCAGTAGCTTGTTCAACGGAGTAGCGATCGAGGCGAAGCCCTTAACAAATCGACGATAGTAACCGGCTAACCCAAGGAAGCTCCTCACCTCACGAACATTCCGCGGAGTCTTCCAGTCCACTATGGCTGAAATCTTGCTGGGGTCTACCTGGATACCGGTGGCAGAGATAACATGTCCTAAGAATGTCACCTCACTCAACCAGAATTTACACTTGGAAAATTTTGCATACAGCTTGTGCTCTCTCAACACACTCAAAACCAATTGCAAATGTCCAGCATGCTCCTCTTGAATCCGTGAATAAACCAAGATTTCATCGATGAACACTACTACGAACTGGTCCAAGTATGGTCGGAACACACTGTTCATAAGCTCCATGAACACTGCCGGGGCATTAGTCAATCCAGAAGGCATGACTGAGAACTCATAATGCCCATAGCGTGTCCTAAAAGCAGTCTTCGGAATGTCTTCTCTCTTAACGGGAATTTGATGGTATCCAGAACGCAGATCAATCTTCGAGAATACTGTAGCCCCTCTGAGCTGGTTGAACAGGTCGTCGATGCGAGGCAACGGATAACGATTCTTCACTGTTGCTTTGTTCAACTGTTTGTAGTCGATGCAAAGTCTCATGGATCCATCTTTCTTTCGAACAAATAACACCGGTGCTCCCCATGGGGAAACGCTAGGTCGGATGAATCCCTTTTCCAGTAGCTCTTGCAACTGAGCCTTCAACTCCTTCATCTCGGCATATGCTATACGATACGGTGTAGCAGATATGGGTTCCGTACCCGGAATGAGATTGATCGAGAACTCTACTTCTCTCGGCGGAGGCAAACCAGGTAGGTCTTCGGGAAAGACATCGGGGAAGTCGCAAACCGTACGGATGTCCTGCTGACGTGGTGATTCTTTTCGCATATCCTGAACGTGACACAGGAACATCTCGCACTTCTTGCGAATCAAGCGCCTCGCGCTCAAGGACGATATGAACTCGGGAGCCTTGGGGAACACCTCCCCGGAGAGTGATACGTCGCTACCGTCCTCGGCTCTCAGCCGTACGGTCCGACAACTGCAGTCGACAACTGCTCTATGCTCGGTGAGCCAATCCATACCAAGGATAATGTCAAACTCCTTGTGTGGTAGCTCTATCAAATCTGCAGGGAATTGCTTCCCTTGCACGGACAACGGACACCTATGATAAATGTGATGAAGACACATGCTATGTCCTAGCGGATTCGATACAACAGTAGGTATCTCAAGGTCACTCCTCACGATCGCAGAATTAGCAGGCATGCCAACACAGATATAGGAGAGCGTAGAACCCGGATCGATCAAGGCATGCATAACCGAATCAAATAGTATGAACGTACCCAAGATAACATTGGGACTAGGATCTGTGCGCCCCTGCATGGCGTAGGTACGCGCTGGTGCCCGGCCTGACTGCTGCGGACGTGGTCTCTGCTGATTATTTGCCGCTGTAGACTGCTGACTCCGTGCTGGATGTGATGTGGCAGGCTGATCCGGAGCTCTAGGAAAAACAGGCTCGCTGCTAGGGTTTGTCGGGCAATGCCTCCTGAAATGCCCTGGCTGACCATAACCCAAACATAAGCCTTGGGCGAGCCAACCCTCGCCCGGGTGATGCCTACCACATTGTACACACTGCGGGTGGCTCCTCGTTCTGATCGTGTTGCTAGCGGCGGCCGACGGAGACGGCTTTGACTTACTCCTCTTAGGCGGCGGCGCACTCGAAGAACCCTTCTCGTACCTCTTTCCCCCGAATCCGAAACTCTTCCCGCTCGGCCCGGTGCTGGCCGCGGGTCGCGGGTCTTTCGTCGCTCGATCCTCCTTCTTGGTTGCCTGCAGATCGTCCAAGCTCTTTTCCGTCTTCACAATCAAATCATACGCCGCATTAAAATCTGTCGTCGTGATCAGCGCGGCGTACGGCCTCAAGTCCGGCCGTAGCTTCTTGAAAAAACTCATTCAAACGATCCTTCGGAGTGGAGACCAGACTCGTCGCATACTGGGACCGGTAGTCGAACTTCTGTCTCAGTTCAGGCAGTGACATCCCCTCCTGCTTAAGCGTAACGAACTCATCGCGCCTCTCCTCGCGGTACCGGGTGGGGACGTACTCCTTCGTGAAGGCTCGATCAAAGCGATCCCAGGTCCATGGCTTGGGCGTGTGTGGATCCTGGTCAATGCGCTTCCACCAATCATATGCTCCCTTCCGAAACATCTGTGACGCCAACTCCGAGCGATCTGCATCAGGGACTCTCAAATTCTTGAGTACCCGGTCCATCTGCTCAAGCCAATCCAATGCAATCTAGGGCTCCCCCATCTTGTCTCCTCGAAACTCTTCCGCTCCATTATCCTTCAATGTCTTGAAGGTAACGATGCGCGGCTGCGGCTGTGGTGGCGGCGGTGGCTGAAACATGGGCATAAGCTGCGCCATGTGCTGCATATAATGGGCCATCATGGCCGGGAACATCTGCTCGTAGGCCACCTGCGGTATCACCAACGGGGGCATCACTGGAGGTGGTACGACTGGCGGTGGTACAGCTGGTGGCTGTCCCGCTGGCTTTGGTTGATTCTGCTGTTGCCCTCCGTCACCCAGAGGCATGAAACTCGAACCCTCGGTGTTCACCGTGTGCACGCTCACGTGCTCCGGCTCCGGAACGTACTGACCGTGGGTCGATTCTTGACTCATTCTAAAATAATAATAAGGAAATTCCCAAGTCAGATCTTAACATATAACAGATAAAGCTATAAATACTTATTACCTTCCCGGGGCAAAGGAGTTACGTGAGATGCAGATGCGGCTGAATTCTTCATTGTATTTTATTTTGAAAGGGTCCAAAGACCGATTTTAAAACCAAATGCTCCGATACCAAAATGTAACACCCCAACCCGCATGACCCAAACCCGTGAGACAACGGACCGGTGTGCCACTGGATTGGTATCCGAATTTGCAACATTTTCAAAACAATTTTAAACAAACGTTCTTTCAATACATATAAAAATCCATCGGAGTAATTTAAAATAATGCGGAAGCCTTTTTAAAGTCAAACAACTTGGGATCTTGCCCGAAAACGTAATAAGCATTAAAGTTAATTAAATAAAGCATAATCAACAGATTAAAGAGACAGCCACGCCATCGTACATCTCCTCCTCAATGCCCTCTGGGATCGGCTCTAGGTTCATCTGTCTGATCACCTACGGACAGCAAAAAGGAAAACAACGCTATCCGCTCAGCATTGACGCTGAGTGGNCAACAGTCAACTTATTTTCTTTCTTTTCAAAATGATTTAGGTGTTACGGGTTTCTCATTAACTCTTTGACCACCGGTCAAACCAATTTAGACTTTCACGAAAGTCAAACCACTTAACATTTAATGCCTATGACGGAGATAGCCTCAATCCGTAATACCGAAGATAGCCTCAATTCGGTGGAGGTAGGATCCCTCGGGCGATAGCCTCAAACCCAAGATCACAGACCCTCGTGCGCACGTCTTAACCTCACTGACCAGGCCCTGCAGCCGCCCGAGCAATGGCCAGTTTCTATGTTCAACATAATGAACCAATTGACCCTAATTACCGATTAGAATTAATTAATTAACTTAATTAATTCATTAAAGTCTTGGATTTAACCATCCGGTCAAACCTACGTCAACAGAATATCCAGTCAAAGTCCAAGTCAAACAGGACCTAACCCAAGTCAAAGTCAAACCTGTTCAGTCAATCCATAATCCTCAACAATACAATTCAAGTAATCAATTTAGCCAAATTATAGCATAAACACATATAACGATCCAAACCATTAAATCTATTCTAAACGCTATTAACTTCATAGTACGGACCTGGATTACGCCGAAATCGAATCGATAGCTCGAACGGAAGACAAATCGACGAAATCAAACGAACGGGTCAAATTGAGTCAAACTACGAAATCGACCAATCAATCCGGCGTGGAGGTTAATCTGCCGGCGATATCAATCCGGGGCAGCGGCTGGATGCGGCGACGGTGGCGGACGCCGGCGACAGTGGCGTAGCGGCAGCTCGACGGCGATGAGCAGCGACTGGCGGCGCTGCAATTCGACGGCGAGGAAGGACGCCGGCAGTGGAGGCGACGTCCAGCGCTCGGCGTGGCGACGCTGCACCCGACGGCGATGATGGCGGACTTCCGGCGAAGGTGAAACAGCGGCGCTGCACTTGACGGCGATGATGGCCGCTGTGCTAAGGGCGACGGCGGCTGGAGGCTTGGCGACGGTGCAACTCGGCGGCGCTGGACCTAGCGATTGGCGGCGCTGGACCTAGCAGCGGGCGACGGAGCTGCGGCGATTGGCTGGGGAAGGGAGACCGGCGATGAGCGGTGTCTGGCTCGGGCGACGCCGGCGTGGTCGAACGGGGATGACCGGCGGCGATTGAAGACGAAGAAGGAGAAGAAGAAGAAGAAGGAGAAGAAGAAGAAGAAGGAGAAGAAGAAGAAGAAAGAAGATAACGATCGTGTGGTTGATAATAGGTTTAGGTTTTATTTATTAATTCCAATACTAGTGGTTTGGGCTCCGGGCCCAAAATATCTGATTAAATGGTCATAACATGAGTTCCATAACTCCGATTCGCGAGCCGTCTGAACCGACGCGATCACAAAAATATTTCCTACGAGATGACATAAAAGTTGGGCTTAGAATCCAAATTATAATTTTAACCCCTTTTTGGGCCTAATTCATAATCAATTGCTCTAACAATTTAATTAATTCTTTTGGGCCAGATTTGGGGGCGTTACAAATGATAACAATAATGATTATCATTATTTGAATTGGTATCAAATACATTCAGATTCGTGCAATTCAAATCAATCTTAACAAAATCAATTCAAATTATAATCATGTAAATAAATAAAACACTCCACATCATTTTAATTTTTGAAAATTACACAATGACCCCATTTTTTCCTTTTACTTATCTAAGGGTCTTTTCTTTTGAATGAAAATTTATTTACAACATTATTCGATCCTTTTCAGTTTTTTCACCCACTTCAAGTTTATTCCAATAACAACTTAAAAAATTTATTTATTTTTATTTTTTAATAATATTCCTATTACATTCTTTATAATTATAATTATTACTATTACTACTATTATCATTATTGTCATCACCATTGTAATTAAAATAAAATAAAGAACTGAAGTAATAACACAATTTTCATACAAAATATTTATTTTGTCCCAAAAACATATACGAAGTATTAGTTATCATTATAGAGTCAACATAAAATATGCCAATTTTTGGTTTAAATAAAATTAATGAAAAAATATTAGTACATGGGTTATTGGCATTGAAATTAAGGAATAAGAAATAAATGGTTTAACATATATATGAAATTAAGAAATAAAAATGTATACTATAGATATTGATTTAAAGAGTTAAAAAAATTAATATTAAGTATGAAGAAAAATATAATCTGGGTACTACAATACATGTACATAAAATGAAATAAAAATGGTTTAACATATGAAAAAATAAAAAAAATAATTAAAATAAATAAAGGAAATTTTTTTAAACAAAAATATTAAATTTCAAAATATATATTACTCATTTCAACATTTTTTTTCAAAATTTTAATTTTTTTCCATAATTTTCTTCCCGTTGTTTTCAACTCCTTCCCATTTTTTTAAATTTATTCTATTTTCCTCTAACTTTTTCCATTTTTTTTTCAATTTCTTCTACTTATTACAACATCCAATTCTTAAATTTCAAACCAAAAATACTAAAAATAATAATAATAATAATAACAATAATAATAATAAATCACCCTAAATAGATATAAAATATAACTTTTATCCCTAACATATGAGTTCTATGCTCTTATTCTCGAAATAAGAGTTTGCTTTGTGACATTTTAACATTGTATATTGGCCTTATTAGGATGTTGGTTGTTGGCTGTTTGTGTCAGCTGTTTTAAATAGCTTTTTAGTTTAGATGGTTCGACCGGCTAGTTGTGTTGGCTGATCGTTAAAATTGTTTGGTAAAGTTAGTTGTTTGAGAATAGTTGTTTCCAAATTACATATATATATATATATATATATATATATATATATATATATATACACACACACACACATACACACAGACACACACACATATATAATATTTTTTCATTTTTATACGTGTAAAAATTATATCTTTAATATATGAAGTACTAAATTTCACTTCCATATAATTCATAAAAAAATTTAATAGTACATAAACTTTTAATAATTTTTTTATTTTGATTTTGTCATCATATTTATTTTGATTTTTCAATTTTTTAATTATAACTTTTTTTTACTTTAATTTTTTTTACATATAATATTGAATATCTTTCAAGAAAAATAATTTTAAAAGATTAGTTTTTCTAACAGCCAAGTCCAAAAGCTACTCCCTTTGATTTTTTGAATTTTGACTTTTCGGATCAAACAACCAAGTGAAAAAGCTATTAGTCAAACACCGATTTTTTTCGTTCAATTAGTGAGATAGCACGTTTTAAACTATTAGGTTTTTTCTATGTGACACTTTAACTATTAATATATATATATATATATATATATATATATATATATATCATTTATAAATTTTATAAAAAAATTTGATATTTCAAAATTATATTTAAAGACAAATCGAATAGTATTAAATTTATATTATTATTCAACATATTATTTTTAATTTCGTGGTCAAAGTTTTTAATTTTGATCCTAAAAAATCAAATGAAAACCTTTTTTTGAAACGGAAGGATTTATTCAATTTAAAAATAATATTTTTAAATGACATTAACATGTTAAGACGAGTTAAATTAAAGAGTTAAGTGCACCGTTTACCCCTGAATTCTTTGAAAATTGCATGGTTTACCCCCGAACATTAAAAAGTGCACCAAATACCCCTGAATTCTTCAGAAATTGCACGGTTTACCCCTGAACAATAAAAATTGCACCAAATACCCCTGAACTCTTCGAAAAGTGTAATGTTTACTCGTGAACATTTAAATAAAGATGACAATTTTGGGTAAAGATATTTTGGAAAATTCACAAGGGTCAGATGAATGATATTCACAATTCTTGTGCGTGGAAGCAACGCCCTCTCTATCTAATAGTTTACGACCAACGATGCAACGTTTTAATTTGTTCAAGGGCATTTGGTGCATTTTTAGTCTGCAGGGGTAAATCGTGCAATTTTCGAAGAGTTCAAGGGTAATCGATGCACTTTTTAAAGTTCAGGGGTAAAACATGCAATTTCTAAAGAGTACGGGGTAAACTGTGCACTTAACTCTTAAATTAAATAAGGACAAAGATGTAAGACCATTATGCAATTTTAAAAGTTAAAATGATGTGGCTAAAGAGTCCACATGAAAACAATTTAGTGGAAGAGCATCCATGCCCCTTCATTAGCAAAGGCACGAACAAATTTCTTTGAAATTATATATCAACCCAAAATAACCCAGCCTTACTTCTAAAAAAACAAATTGGATCCGCGTTGCCGGATTTTTCATGGTTGGGCCAAATTTTTACGGAGTATCATCTTCAGCAATCCTACAAGAAACCCAGTATCTCTCCCCATTACATATTTAATCGGCGCTCGAGCCTCCTGACAGTCCTGAGATCGAAAATTGAATCAAGGCTACTTTTCCAATTCCTCTTCCTACAAAATTGCACCCGTAAAATCCTGAAAACGGAAAGTGTACGTCGCGCACTAGAAGAGAGCTTTGGTTATGTTGTTGAGAACAAGAATTGCCTTAGCAGGGACTGCGATTGTTGTGAACAAACAAAAACCTTCTTAATTGAAGTATACATAAAGTCATAAACCATGGCGGGGATTGCGATTCTTTTGGATCTATTGCGGACACACCCGAGCTTGAATGGCCAGACCCTCCATTCTTACGGCCTTTTCTCATCTAAAGTTGCTGCCTCTGCTGCCAAGGCTTCTCTTGCATTTGCAGCCACCACTCCCTTTGCTTATAGACCCTTTGTCGGGTAATTTTTTCCCAACCCATATACTGTTTCTGCTTATACAAGTATGCCTTGGATCCTAGCTTTGATGCAAAGATAACGTTCCAGATATTCTTTCCTTTTGAATGACATACATCGCATCTTGCTTTGATTTTTATAGCATCAGTCATATTCATGCGGTGTCCATTGCCTATGGATTCTAAAAATGTCATTTTTACACTGTTATAGCTTTGAGTGAATAATGGCCTCAATCAAAATGCCTTATTAAACTTCTTTTCTTTGAAGTTTTGGGTAAAGGGTCTATTTGAAACATTAAAAGGATGATTTTTTTTTACATCTTGACTCCATAGGCTCCAATGTAGTTGGGGTTATATTTGGTTTGTTGTAGTCACATTCACACAAGCTACAAATCTGGTCATTCTTATAATGTATTACTCCCACTGTCCCGTTATGAATTGTCAACCTCTACTTTGGATAGGGACTGCATCACGGTGTTGGTAATTAGGATCGCGATCCTACTCCTACCTGTAATTAAATTCTTTCTCATTCAGTCAAAGAAACGCCGCAGGTCTCATACGGGTTTGGTTAATACAATGTGTATCTGCCTGCTAGTATGTTTAATCAAGCTTGCTTATTTCCAAACTCTTTTTGAGGGCAATTCGACTCGTTAACAGGCCTTTTTAAACCAAGAAGCAGAGTTTTTCCTACTTTGGAATCTCCATTGCTAGAGTACTAAAACAAAGTCATGGTTATTTAGTTAATTGATTCAATGTCTAGCATATTACATAACGGGTATAACATTGGCCTTTTGTGTTCATGATGAGATGAGAAACTGTTACTTATGCAGTTCCAAGGTCTAGAATACATTTGTGCTCTTTCATTTTTAATCACATTTGTTCTATATGTAACCCAATAATCTGGGTTTTAGATAGAAGGAAATTAATATAGACCATATCTTTCACATATAAACTGGATCATGCTTCCTACGCCTAACTATCAAGCTCCTCATTTCTTCCCCAATGAAACAAAGTTTCTACTTCCCCACTGAAGCAATTAAGACTAAAACTTTTTAAGTGTATAAAATCATATTACTGATTGTAAGTTACTATACACTGCTTTAGAACTCCGCAAATAATGAGAACTCTCACCTCAAATCTGTTCTTGTTTGAGTAGTGCTAAATACTCATAGGAAACCTCGTGTCCAATTCCAATATCATTGGGGGGGGGAGGGGGGGTTATAAGTTTACATGGCTTCCCTTATTCACCATCTTCGATCCAATTTTCTAGGCATTTAGTTGTGTCCATTATGATAACTACCAAAACCCCTCCACAAGTAATTAACCCTACTGCACCGCGGCACCGTGCCCTTCACCTTGGCTTCATGCCTCATTGTCAGTACTCAGTTGTGGGCTGACCCATTGGACATGTTCAATGGGTCTCCCCAAGATTGGACCTGGCCCACTGGAGACTCACTTGGACACGTATATTGGGCCAATTACATAAACAATGATACCTTCAGCCCAATATACCCATCAGAAACGTATGTTACAGTGGTAGTAACTACCAACTACCCCATTAAATCATTAATAACATGCAAAGTTGCAAAGAACTCAAGAATTTAATTAGTAAAATATGTCCCCTATTAATCTCGGAAGACCAACATTCCATACATCGGAAATTTGCCAATGAAATAAAAAACTGGCTCGAAAGAAAAAGACTTTTGAACACTTAAGCTAAAAATGTAATACTAAATATAATTAAAACAGAATCAAATAGAAATAACATAATCCAATAGCCAAATTCACAGAAATCAGAATCCAAGATTTTGAAAGAAATAGAAAAAGAGACCAACCCTTCGACAGTCGAAGCATCACGTCAATGGAGAGTGAGAGTGAGTTATTAAGCATAGGTGAAGTGAGCGGCAAGTCTAAAAGGGATATCGTGGTAAGAAGTATTGAAGACAGAAGGAATGCCGGGGGGTGGGGGGTGGTTTTGACATATGTGAGTTATAGACTAGTGCAGAGTCTAAAAGGGATTTGGACTGCGGAGAGGCAAAAAATTATTTTCCAAGTCTAATGGGAAGACAATATTTTTCTCCCTTCAACAGAAAATAATTTTCTGTGCAAACAAAATTTTCCCTTTTGCACATTGTCTACGAGGAGACTAGAAAACATGGTTATTAAGTCGTCAACTAGTCGCCTGGTCGTTTTGTTGGTGGCGACTTGATTGTCCCCTAGCGACTTGGATAGACTAGTTGTCCGGTCGTGTAACGCGACAACTAGTCGCTGATGGAAACCCAACCCAATTTTACCAGACCCCACCTAAATTTCATTAAATTTTAAAAAAATACTACGTAAAAGTATCACCTCCCTTGTTCACGCAGCACAACGCGACAATCCTTCATGACTTCTCTCTCTCTCTCTCGCCAAAGCCCATCTTCCAGATCGATTCTTTTGGATTTGATTGTTCTTCATCTTCATCGATTCCTCTCCATCATCCTCCACGGTATTTAATATGTTCTTTAACTTCTTTTTGTTCTTGTTATCTTTGTTGGTACTTGGTGTGTTGTTTTTGAAGATTAAAGGGTATTTGTTTCTAATGTACCCTTTGTTGTGTGACTTTATGTGCTACTTTTAAACATAATTTTGTTTTGGTAATGATATTTCATTATATAAATATATATAGTTATCTTTGGTCAATGAAGATATATATAATATTAAACATTTCAATACTAATTGTGATTTATCGACTAAGACGACTAGTCTACGACTAGTAGGTCGACTAGTCCACTAGTCTCCTCTTCACAGACTCGACTTGTCGCCTTGATAACTAGGATAGAAAAACAATGAGTAAATTCCATAAATGGACCCTTATAATTGGTGGTTTTCCATGTTTCAACTCCAATTCTAAGATATTACATCAATGGTCCTCAATTTTTGGAAACTATTCTATAATTAGTCCTTAAGGCCAAATTTAACCAAATATTTTTTCCCACATATAGTCTCCAAAGGACCGATTTTGAAATAGTTTTCAAAAATGAGGACCATGAATGTAATATCTAATAATTGGGGACTAAATATGGAAAACCACCTGTTATATGGGATTATGTATGAAATTTACTAAAAAACAATTAACGTCAAAAACCATTTCCTTCTCAGACAGTCCCTAAGAACATTATTAATCTAATTGCATGGAGATAATCTTAAAGAAAGATGCTTGTTTAATCTTCTTCTCCGTTCTTTTTTTACCTATTTAAAATATTGACACATGGTGGTTTAATACAGTTACAGCGGGGCAAGAGTTGCTTTTTGTGATGCTGGTCAGGGTCTTACAGAAGATTATATTTCTAGCTTACGAAGTGATTCAACGGTTAACGTTGATGACTATAGTTCCAAAATATACATCGTTGAACAAAAAGCATTGCTTTCTGCATTTCATTGGAGAAATTTTGCCCTTACATTCTTGAGGTCTTTTCTGTATAACTACTTGCCCATTGTGGAGTCCCGTTTGAAGATTGAGAATGCGGAGGATGATGACGGAGACTTTTTAGAAGATGACCACGAAGAGAGGCCGGTGGATTTGATAACTCCTTTCAAGGCATCAGTTAAACACATTTGTCGCGAGGTAACATTTTCTACATTTAATTTGATATTGCTTAGTTACTAGTATTAAGTTTCTTGAGAATATGGGAGTCAATTGTCATTGTCAAGAATTGTACAACAACGGATGCATGAGAATTGGTAATATCATACATGGATGTGGCAAATGTATATCACATATATTAGCCATTTTTTATTTGTTTCTTTATTATTGATGAACAAATGTGATAAAGATAACCCCTGCTATCTTTTTTGGTTATTGGTTAGCAATACATCTTTGATATTATTGGAATCATTATGTTAATTATATGTTAACTTCAATGCATTATTGGTAAAAATATCAGATATGGGTTATTATTGTGTAAAGATAGAGAGGTTGTTTCCTAAAGATCCCACTTGATACAAACACATAAGGACAAATGATTGTGGTTAATACAATCCGCAAATAGACCGAAATGAAGAAAACAATTGATAAACCAAAACAGATGAAGGTAAGCCAGACAAGCTCCATCTAACTAAATCCGATAGCCCTACACACAACAATAACTACCTCTATCATGGCCTCGCCAACCATTATGATCCTTGATTGCCCAACACTCCTTTCTAGGGTCATGTCGTTGTTGAGTTACTTAAGAGTGTTTGTGAGTGAGGTGAGTTCCTGAAAAAGCAAATGTGCTAAATCAGAAGCAGAAATCAGTTACTTCAAGCTTTGGTGAAAAGCACTTCTACAACACAATTTACACTTTTGAAGTCACATTCCATAATTTAAAGTTGATTTGCTCAGTGAAGCAGACAACATTCCATTTCATCTCTCCCACTCTGATACGGTAGGAGAGATTACGCCTGTCAAGAGCTTCCATTTCATCTGTCCCACTCTGATACGGTGGACAGCATTCTCATCAATCTCATGACAGGCCTCAATGGTAGATACAGGGTGATACAAGGTACTGAAACATATCCCTTATTGCATGGTTTCAGCATCAATCTTCACCTCCACGTCCGACTCAATTGTCATCGCACTAAAATTGCACTCTGTCTTAGTCCCCTGCTCAATCTGAAACCTTTAAACTCCAAGGTTCACCCCTACACCTCCAATCTATTATTGAGTCATTCATGCATTTCATCAATCATGACAGACCCTGATGTAGTCACATCTTGAAGGGAAAATATCAGTCCTATAGACGGTATGCTTGTCCTCGCTCCATCGTACCTATCCTTAATCGCTCTAAGGTATGTATAATGGGATCATTGTACTCTTCATCCACCCTTCCGGCATCTATCCATCACGAAGATAATGTTAAAAAGCTCAGTTATCCACATTACAAAGTTTGATCAAGAAATATGCATTTCTATGACATTTCTCAACTAATTTTTTGAAAATAAGGATGCCTTTAGAATATAGGACTTCAGATTTTGTACCTTCTTGGGCTGGACATACTCACACAAACTCTGCAGGGACACCGCTAGGCCCAAATTTATAGCATAATTAATTCATTTTAATTAGTTTCCTATTCGATTTCCAGTTAAATATTCTGAATGTCTTTTTTTTTTACTCCGTAATTCAGTAGCAGTTTCCTTCTACAAATCCTATTATTGTTCTTTAAATATGCATACAATTAATAATATATTTCAAGTTGGTATTGAAATTAAAATTCAAAAGAGGCTAGACCTTACCATCTTCTTTTCTCTCTCTAGTCGTGCGCCTACTTCACTAATAGGAAAGTCAGGGGTTTCTTCCTCTTTGGTTTCTCACAAACCTTTGACATGTAGTCACTAGTTAGACTCTCAATCCATATCAATAGTTCTAGTGGGCTTCTTGGTTTTTAAACTTAAACTTTGGGTCACTGACATGTGTCAAAATATGACCGTCATTGTGTGTGTGTGTTAATGTAAATATAATGCATTTTAATGTAATAAAAATAAGATTAAGTTTCTTATTTTTTTTCTTATTACTCATTTTAGTGTATAAACATATATTTTGATACAAGTTTTTAAGACATCACATAGTTATTTTATATTTTTTTTCAAAAGTGATGCATATTTTATTCTCTTATTCATTACATTGTTTAACATATCTAGAAGGAATTAAAAAATCAATATAAATATTCTATGAGGTTTCATATATGTGTTTTGATATTTTATTATTTTTGTAGGGCAAAATGTAAGTGCTAGTATGAATTTAAATATTCTTAAAATAAATCTAATAACCCGTTGGGTCGACCCGTACCTGATGACATTGGGTCATGAACATGTAGTTCTTAACCCGAATCCAATCCTACCCGAACCTGATATAACCCGAATTCGAAGTGATCGATCCCAAACCTGACCTAACTGACTGATCTTCTAGCTCTAGTTTTGGGCTTGCTGATATGAAATGTAGTTTACACAAGATGTCTTCCCTGTCACAATCTTTGTATGGAGGACCACGAAGTCATTGGATGAAATTTAAAAGCAGATGTCATCGTAGTTTATTTTTTTACCTTGCATAGAAAACATCATGAGACAACGATAAGTAGAGATGTTTGCTACTTTGCTAGGTCTCCTTTCTGTCCAAATCACCACAATAGATTCTCTTAAAAAATATATTTTCTGTAGAATGTAGATGTCACTTCTACCCATAGTTGTGAATGGCGCTCGCCATTCTCGCCTAAGGCGCCTATGGCTCTATGGCGACCATCTGACGCCATCTTCAGACCTGGCGAGGCGTTTTACGCCAATCTCGCCATAGGCGGTCGCCATGGACGCCAAACACTGTGGCGAAAGGCGTTCACCATCTACGCCAGACGCAGGGCAAGGGTTTTTCTTGACTTTATTTTTTAAAAAAACGCGCTGACCTAGTACTCGATCAACCCTCTGCCCTCTCGCCGTCAATCGAAATTCTCCTCGCCGACTCGGCCTCCTGCCCTCCTCAAGTTCTCCTCAGCCGGCGCAGACCCTCGTCTCTCTCCCGAGTCCAAACAGCGCAATTCTTCGGCTCAGACTTTTTTTTGTTTTCTTATTGTTTTGACGGAGGAGGATTATTATTAAATATGTTGCTTTCTTTTTAAGTACTAGATTTTGTTTTTTGTTTTACCAATAACTCATGTTTTACTTTGATAATTATGTTTGATACAAAGTTAAGACTAAAAGTTTAGACTTAAACTATATATATATATATATATATATATATATATATATATATATATATATATATATATATATATATATATATATATATAATGTTCGCCATTTGACTGCCCGCTGCTCGCCACGCTTCTCGCCATAAAAAAGAACCTCTCGCCCGCCACTCGCCATTCACAACTATGCTTCTACCTTCTTTTCAATGATCTCCTTTCTTTTGCAAAGACTTTCATCGTCAAATACACATTTTAGTTACCTATATTTTCATAATTATTAACAACCTTAAGCAGCCCAACATTTTGTACTTTTGGCAGCATATTTAAAAAATGTTGTGCTCAACGACATTAATAAGGATTTCCTGTCTTAAGCATTTGATCGAGGGGGGAAGAGAATGCGAGTTATCACCATTTTCTCTATAAAGTTTTGAATTTTCTTTTCATGTTCTATATTTTCTAGGGAAAAGTTACGTTTGCTTAGTTTTCAAGAAGTACCTCCAGTTGGCTACCTTTTGGAAGGCCAGACCCAATTTCACATTGAAAAGTATTGAAATGCACATTTTAGCAGGAAAAATCAAATAGCTAATGAAACTATTAGCTATGTGTTTGAGTTTGTTAGTGATTCCATTACGATGTTTTACATTGCATTCAAATATATACTTTATGTATATATGTGCTCATGTATATTTGGAAGGGTCTTTTGCAAGTTTAATGCACAGTTGATGGTGTGGTGATTACTTTGCCCACAACTTACCATGTTATCTTATTCCATTCATTCTAGAAAGCTTTCTAGCTTGCACATAATTTTCATGCATATTTTCAGTTCCCAAATAACCCCTTGTGTATCATGACTCAGACCACTGTTACAACCACTAGGCGCGTGTTAGAGCGGTTTGCTGTCCATTATGTCTCTCAACGCATGGCGTGGAAGCTCCTCAAAGGTACCTTTGATTGCTAGTGTTACATTTGGATCTTCTTCGTTGATTTACATGTCAATGAACACAACACATGCAGATGTTCCAAGGTCAGCTGCTCGCAAGGCAGGAAGAGGAATGCCAACTTTTGTCTACATATGTAGTGTTAGCAGAACGACATTTAGAGGTGATGGTTTTTCTTGTAGAATTTCTTGTTACTTGTACTTTCTTGTGCCTCTCAACATGTTTGCACATATGTTTTTAGAGTAAATTCCACAAATGATCCCTTATAACAGGTAGTTTTCCATATTTAGTCCCTAATTCTAAGATATTACATGTGTGGTCCTCAAATTTTTGAAACTAATCGATATTTAGTAGTCCTTAAGGCCAACTATGACCAAATATTTTTTCCCGCATATAGTCCCCAAAAGCTGATTATGGAATAGTTTTCAAAAATTGAAGACTGCGAATGTAATATATCTTAAAATTGGAGACTAAATATAGAAAATCAATCGTTATAAGGGACCCTTTATGGAATTTACATGCTCATTTTTTAAAATTCTCGAAAATGCCCTGTTTGATTGATAAGGTTGTTGCCTCGGAGTTCTAGCATCGTTGATCGTCCAAGTTGGGGTAGATATATACGGATTCTTTAAGTCAACGTCGGACAATGAGGAAAGACTTACGCTGCTTGGGAAGAAGGTTTATAACACTACCCTCAGGTGTGCCGCGTCTCTTGTTTTAGCTTCTATTGGGGCCGGAATAGGAGCCGCATTCATTCAGCCCACAACTGGCCAGTGGATAGGTGAGTTTTCCGTTTGGTGCTTAACTTCCGGGGGTTATTGTTATACGATAGAGAAATAATATATTTGCATCGGACATAATCTAAACTTTCAGGATGCGCATTGGGAGATATTGCTGGACCTTACATTGTTGCTATGCTCTCAGACAAAGTTCATCTCCAGCTATAGTCCTTGTTTTATGCTCTTATTTTTGTTTGCTGTTGTGATAGACAGTAAGGCTGAATATTGATCGAGTTCGCACATTATTTTATTCCTTAACTTGTGATAGACAAGAGAAGAAGGCTCAATATGGATGCAATTCTTTTTCGTTGAACTTTGCCCGTGTAACTTTTTTTTTGTGTGTGCTTCAGCCTTCGGCATTGCTATTTGCTTACAAGCTCCCATTGGCCATGTAATAAGTTTCGTATAGATGTTTTGATGTAATTTTTTGAATCCACAAAGTTTAGGTTCTAATTATGCACCAAATTTCAGATAAATTAAATTGAAATCTTTTTTTTTGGGATGAAGACAGCATATGATAATAAATGGATAAATCTTTAGTACAGGCATTAACAATAATATCAATATTAATAACACTGTCATTGTTCTTGTTCTTGTTCTTGTTGTTGTTGTTATTAATATTAATATTATTAATATTATTAATATTATTCTTGTTGTTGTTGTTGTTGTTATTATTATTATTATTATTATTATTATTATTATTATTATTATTATTATTATTATTATTATTATTATTATTATTATTATTATTATTATTACTACTACTATTAGGGTGTTGCTAAATCCACTCCCTTTATGGCTATATCTACTTTTATATTAAATAGATTATTTTGTCTTAAACAATACACCTAAATTTTCTCTTTTGTAGTCTTGAGGAAAAAACAGATTATTTATTACTATAATTGGAGTCGAGTTGGCAAAAATAAGAGCAATACCCTTATGATTATGATAACGATAGTTATTGTTGTTGGAATAGTGTCCGGGGTTTCTTAGAAATTCAAATTATCATTTGGCCTAAGGTGCTGTGAAAAAATACCTATGAAAGAAAATTTAAGTACACAAGATTTAACATGTACTCCCTCTGTCCCAATTTAAATTGTCTGTTTGCCTTTTTTTCTGTCCCAAAATAAGTTGCCTGTTAGTTGTTAATTGTTATCGTAAACTTTTAAAAATAAAATAATAAACTACTCCTAAAATAAGTCACTCTTTTTCACTTTATCTTCTAATTTATAGTCACCTCTTCTAAAAAGTAATGACAATTTCAAAAAATCAATTTTATTTTTTCTTTTACTTAAATATGTCTAAAAGTCAAAACAGGCGATTTAAAACGGAACGGAGGGAGTAACTTTTTATTCTAGAGAAAATTATAGGCCTTTATTTTTGTCAAGCCAAGCAAAAGTCATCTTTTCAAGGCATTAATAATAATAATATCGATATTTGTCCCGGTTCTAGTGACACCGGAGAACGGTGCCACTAGCGGTGTCACTGGGTTTTTGAGGCACCTTCGGTACTCCGTTCGTAAAATTGACGGTTCTTACCCCCTAACCCACCCCTAAACCCCCCACCCTTGCACCCCCACCCCAACCCCGCCGTAACCCCCTCACAAAATATGTGGCTATTATGCAATGCCACTATAGGGGGTCTGCCATCCCATTGTACGCCTTGATCTACCACGGGCGGAAGTTAGCTGGTAAAGGTACCGACATGACCTGGGGTGTGAACGGAGTAGCTATCCTCAGGATTGGCTCACTATAGGGGGACTTGGTCTTCACCCTGCATTTGAGCTCGGCCACGTCTCTCTTGAGACTAAACATGTCGTGCTTTGTAGTGTTCGTCTTCCCCGTTGTTGTGGGGCTCTGACGCGTTCCTTCCCCATCTCTATTCGGCCAGTTTTGGGTTCGCTTGTCTCGGCGATCGCCTATATGCTCGGGTTGTCAATCCGAACACGCGCTCGAGGTGGCGGACTCCTCGGGGTGCTTTTGTATCCCCTTCGAGTTGTGATGACATGGGTCGTTTCGATGAACAGAACGCCCTAGGTCGAGTCTACCGAAGGCCAAAACACATACCTCCTCTCCTCCCAGCCCCTTAAAGGCCAAAACTTGACCCTCGGTTGAGTCTCCATCTTTGAGAATATCCTCCACGATGACTTCATCCACCAAAGGGGCCTTTTCGGGTCTCCTCCGGCCCATTCGGGTCTTCTTCGCCTTGGCCTGGGAAGTGGCGACGTGTTTGGTGATAGGGGCCCTCGGAGCCTAGGTGGCTCTACTGCCACGCACGCTTCCGCCAAGGGCAAAGAGAATGGAAATGTCAGCCTAGAGCTGCTCCGGGGTCACTCCCATCCTAAACAATGCTTGGATTGCGTCGGGAGCCAAGGCAAGAACACCGGTACCATTGCCAATTGCTTGGTTTTTTCCCCTCGCCGTTGACGTGACTGGCGGCGAGTATGTTATTGCTCCTTGTTTGCACCATTCTCATTCCAAGGAGTTAACCTACGAGTATGCCTTTAAGCTCTCAGTAAGAGCATCAATTTGAAGGTAATAAACCCCCGAATAGATCGACTGGGGTCAACTGGGATGAGTAAGCAGGAGTATTAAAGATAGAGAGCGAGAGAATGCAAGAGTAGGAGTTTATTAGCTTAGAATATGATCCCGTTACAATGCCTAAAATAGGGATATTATATCCTTTGTCGTCTAGCCTTTGTCCCTAGTGGTTGAAGGTATGCCGAGCTTCCTGTCATTGTGTGACACATGAACCCGTCACAACTCACCTCAAGGCCGAACCGAGCTCCTCGGCTCCATGGGATCGAGCCGAGCTCGAGGGTATGCCGAGCTGACCTGTACGATGGAGACCACCCCATGGCCCAGCACAAGTATGATGTGGAGTTATCTTCCATCATATATCTGTGTGGGTGGGTGGGTGGGTGTGTGTTTAGGTGGGAATAGACGTTACTACAAGAAATGAGAATTTTGCATTTTCGAGTTCTTGTGATGCATTTTACACTTGCAGTAGTAGTACAAAGTAAGACATACTCCCTCCGCCCCGCAAAGATTTACACTCTTCATTATTTACAAATAACAGAACTTTTGATAATTTATGTGTTTTTATTAGTTATTGGATAAAGTAAAATATTCTTTTCACCTCATATTTTGTAACACTTTTGATGTACTACTTAAATATATAAATTTTATTTTTTTAATTTCTATATCATTCTTTAAATAAACTAAATTTAAAGAACTTGGGATTTTATTTTATTTTGCATAAAATGTAATTAATATAAGTACAATATAATAATAATTCAATATGATGATGATGATGATGATAATAATAATAATAATAATAAGGATGATAATGATAATGATAATAATAATAATAATAGTAATAATAATAATAATAATAATAATAGTAATAATAATAATAATAATAATAATAATAATAATAATAATAATACTTCCTCTGTTCTGTTTTAAATCGACCATTTTGACTTTGAGGGATATTTAAGGAAGAAAAAAAATAAAATTGACTTTTCGAAATAGCCATTACTTTTTAGGAGGGATGACGATGAATAAAAAGATAAGGTGGAGAAGAGTGACTTATTTTAGTGGTAATTAAGTATTTTACTCTTAAATGTTTACGATAACAAGAAATATGCAACTTATTTTGAGACGGAAAAAAAAGGAAAACAGACAATTTAAAATGGAAGAGAGGGAGTACGTAGTTATTGTTCTTGTTGTTGTTATTGTTGTTGTTGTTGTTGTTGTTGTTATTATTATTATTATTATTATTATTATTATTATTATTATTATTATTATTATTATTATTATTATTATTATTATTATTATGGTCAAGCCACGATGGATATTAAGAGGCAATGGGTAATGCCTAAATGGATGTGAGCGTACACATGCACAAGCATCCACCCAAAAAGTATCATATGGAGTAACATCAAACTCCATTCTTCTTAAATGCAAATCCTTTCATCCCAACAACAGGGGAACGTCTAAAGAAAAAGAAACCCGCCCCTCAGCGCTAGGACAAGGTGAAGAACAGAACCACCCTCAATGTTGTACTCTTTAGCTGTTTTATCATCTGAAAGCTGCTTCCCAGCATAAATAAGCCTGCAAACAGGGGTCCAGGGAATTGGTTACAATTAAAACCACCAACCAAATTCAAATAACACGGAGTATTCCTTCATGCCGCTGGCGTTTTCCAACTCTTCTAATTGTCCGTGTGAAGGAGGGTGGGGTGGAGGAGGTAATAACTACCTATAGTGTTTGGATTAGAGATATGCCCCACTAAATGGAGTACCTTAACGAAATGTTTGAGAACTAGAATTTGGATTTCGAATCCGAATTTAGCTTCAAATTCCTTGTTAGGGAAAACTTAAAATTATTGATTTGGATTTGAGGCAAATTCATTGCAAAGCTCAATTGCAAGCCCATATGTCTCCCCTTGTCATTTAAAATCCAAGAATTCAAATTATGGAATTGGAATGAAATGCTAGTTCCCAAACACTACCATACATAATTTGAAAGCTTGCAAAAACAGCAAGAAGGAAAAAAACGAACCTTTGTTGCACAGGAGGAATTCCCTCTTTTTCTTCAACTCGCTCCTTGATCCGATCAATGGTGTCAGTAGGTTCAATATCAATCTCAATCTCCTTTCCGGTGAGAGTCTTAACCTTAATCATGGTTCCTCCCCTGAGTCTCAAAACCAGGTGAAGGGTTGATTCCTTTTGAATGTTGTAATCGGCCAGAGTCCTTCCATCTTCCAACTGCTTTCCTGCAAAAATCAGTCTTTGCTGATCCGGAGGGATGCCTTCTTTGTCCTGCCAGTAAAACATACTCCGTATCACATAATCAAGGGATTTAATTTTAAGTTTATTAAAGAGTGTCTTAGTATTTGATACAGCAACTAGTGGAAGTATGTATCAGTGAAATTAGCTACACTAAATAAAACACGTAACCCGAAGTACCAGCTAAGGGTCCGTTCCGCTCAACTTATTTTTTCAGCTTATTACTTATTCTTATTAAAATCAGATCAAATCAGATCAAATAAGAAACAGCTTTAAATATAACTACAATCAGATCATATCACACTAGATCTTCGAAAAATCAGATCAGATCACGCGAACAAAACACAACCTAAGGCTCAATAAAACAAGAGAAATCCAAATTTTAAAGTCCTATCTTTAGTACACCACAAGAGCATGGACTCCACTTTAAAAGGGAAAGACAGAAAGCTGTTAAACCAAACCAGTACATAATCAAACTTCAGAAAGTTTTGTTTTGAGTCTGAATAATAAGATACCCATTCAAGATTAAAAAGGTTCAGATATGAATCCAAAGCCAATAAGAAAAACAAAATCAAAATTTTGGATGCAGAGAATAGGCCGGAGTTGAAATTGGCACCTGAATCTTGGCCTTGACATTGTCGATGGTGTCACTACTCTCGACTTCGAGAGTAATTGTCTTTCCGGTTAGGGTTTTCACAAAGATCTGCATTACTGGAGTGCTTCAAATGCAGCAAAACAAAGAACCCCAAAAAAATAAGAAGATTTAACTAGAGTAGTGAATATCTACTATATACATTTAATAGCAAAATAGGGGAAATTAATTCTTTTCTGATCTAAAGTGAACAGAGCTTGTGATTACTCTATATCGCTAGATGTATAGATAAAAAATGTATTAATAGCATATGAAAAGAATCATAAACTAAACAGACCAAGTAAAAGTGCAATTTTTCTAATCCCAATTCACAATATCATAAAATAAACTAAGAGCCTCATTTTCATCATGTTATGACTTCAAAGTTTCATACTAACATGATTTAACAAAGAGTTAAATCCACAAATAGTCCATGTGGTCTTTCATAAGTAGGTATATAGTCCCTGTACTTTTAAAAGTTGCAAAATAGTCCCTGTGGTCAAAGAACTACTGCATAATTAGTCCCTTCCTTAAGGAAAACGTAAAGCACACAAAACATAGACGTACTGTGTGAAAATGTGAAGCATGTAACAAAAAAAAGTTTATCTCGTGAAATTGCCATCGTCTTCGTGGTTAAAGGCAATGAATGCCCTTTTTCTAGCTCTTTTCTAACACAATTTTACCTTAGAATGAAGCTACTTAAAAAATAGAATAATATCGAGCTTTCATACGACATTGTACTACGATTCAAGAATATCACTATAGAAGAGACGGAGAATTCGTTGTAAGAGTTAAACCAAAAGATGGAAGATATTGTACTATGGTTCAAAGTTACACATCACAATTAAAATTTCAGATTAGCTTTTTTTACTGCTACATGATTGACGTCTTTGCATAATTCGCGCGTGTTGTGTACATTTTATGAATTTTCTAATATAGGGACTAATTATGCTATGGTTGTTTGACCACAGAGACTATTTGATAACTTTTAAAAGTTCGAGAACTATTTACCCACTTATGAAACACCACCGGGACTATATATGCATATAACTCTTTAATTATTTCCGGAAGAGATTATTTCATCATTTTTTCTGTTGTACAGGTTTCAAGCACTTACACCCAAAACACATATCAGTAAAATCAAGTTCAAACAAAGAAAAAATTCAGTATAAAACAGTTGCCTTTTCTTTACTTTTGTTGTCTTTGCTTTGGGTGTTCTAATTAATCTTTTGCAAGATAAATGCAATAAGACAAACTGAGAAATTCCTAGAAGTAGAACATGTAGGCAATGAGGATATGTGCAGCAACAAAAAATGTAGTCCGGCTATGTGTGGGGAAGAACAACATTGGCCAGCACAGAGATGAAGATGCAAGTTTGAGAATTTACAAAAAATGGAACTAGGGTTTTTTATTTTTTATATTTTTTTGTTTTTTAAGGAGTATAAAACAGCAAAAGTTTATGAAGCATGAGCACAGTAACACAGCATCCCAAGATTTACAACACTGGACACAAAAAATAAATACTATCTAGAGCTAATGGTAAAATATCCTGATGTATTGGATACCTAATATATCATTGTGAATGGCAGATTGGCCTTCCAATAGGATACGGTCATACTGGTTGTAAATTCACCCCACCCTTATTTAACTCCACTCTTTTCTAAATTATTTTTAATCTTGTGCTCCAAGCAGATTTATATACATTCTAAAAATTTTAGGGGTTTGATAAAATTATATTTTATAAAAAATGATATATTTTTCTAATAAATATATGGCACATGTTAAATAATTTTTTTTTATTAGATATGATATATTTTTTGAAATAAAACTTGTAGTTTTAATAGTGATGCACATTTAAACAAATCTTTATTTTTGGAAAGTAATAAAAGGAAAAATGGTGAGTAGTTAAGATTTTATACTATAAAGATTTTTTTAAAAAAAATTAATAAAACTTATATAACCTTCTATTTCAAATATTAAAATTAAATGGTGAAATGCATATTGGCATAATACTTAAAAAATGAAAAGTTTATGCAAAATTCATGGTCATTGAGTACACTACTAATGAAAGTTAATTTAATGTATTAAAAATTGATATAATACTTGCTAAAGTGTTAAAATTGAAATTTTTCCATCATCTCCTATGGAGCCAAAAGTTTAATATTTTTTTGACTTTGGGGTGTGATGAAATAAAGCAAAATGGATCTCTAAATTGTCTACGCTACTTTAATTAATGAAATATCAATTAGTCAATGAATGCAACTTCCGACGCTGAGTCGGGGGTCTCTTTGGAAACAGCCTCTCTACTTTCGAGTAGGGGTAAGGTTTGCGTACACACACCACACACCCCCCAGACCCTACTCTTGTGGGATTCGACTAGGTAGGTTGTTGTTGTATTTACAGAAAAGTCTAAAAAGTGATAAAATAAAATAAATAGTGGATAGTTTTAAAAAATTAAATATAATATTTTTTTTAAATTAATAAGGTATATAATTTTTTAAATAATAAGATAATTAAGCATTACAGAGTGTATTTAGTATTTTGGAGAGTGTGGCTATCACTACCCATATGATACATATGCAGACTTAAAAATTGCATGCTAGCTAAAAAAGCAGCATAAAAAACTAAGGCCACCATATTCCTTATGAATTGAATCAATTGATTCATTGCTTACCTACAAGCAAAGTATATATGCTTCAAAATTAATTAAACCAAGGTTCATACTCCACAACAATTTGAGCTATGTCTAAAACGACCTCACAATCCCAATGAATATCGCATCAAAATAACATCATCTAGTACATAAGCAAATACACCGACAACAATAAGTGAAAAAACATTTTTTAAATTAAATGTGTGAGAATTTTGATTTCATTTAAGAAAATTAAATTTGATATAATAAAAAAACAGAAATTTTGTTAGAATTTAGGATGAGGCAATCGATTACTTAGTTCAACTCAAGAGTTTATATACCGATTCTTTTTCTATTCAACTTCTGATGTGGGATAGACTCTGACAAATTTCAAGCATCATACAAGTTGGATAAAATTTAAAAAGAGATGTTAATTTTTTAATATTTTAAACCTAAGTTGCTTCAAGACGAAGTGGGGTACTTATACCGGGACGGGTGAAAATGCCAATTGTGCCAACATTTCTACTCTATAAATGATTTGGATGTTGGGAATTGGGACACCCAAATACCAGGGACGTTTCGAGGACACGGAGCAGCACTTATTTGAAGAATCTATGCAAAAGAAAGTGTTAAACAATACAGAATCAAATTTATGCGCACAAAAAAAACATGTATTCAACAGTGGCCTGGAATCATTAAAGCCAATTTAATTTTTTTATTTTGAGAAAAAAAGAACGGATAAAAGCATCAAATTTCAGGGCTTAAGATCTCTTCGAACAGATCTTTGACAAAAAATTGATTTTACTAGGGAAAAAACTACACAGATCTCTACGCACACAATACTAACAATTTCATATACTCAGTATTCCGCAGTATGTAAGGAAGGGGTAGAAGTTACTTGCAACGAAGCTACAAAAGATGGATGAGGCGTGTCTGATCGGAAAGAAGAAGGCGACGAAGAAGATATCGCGAGACGGCAAGGAAGAGAAAGGCAATAGCAATTCTTAAAGGTTGAAATAAGAATTCCACCCTTGGGAATTGATGCTAGTCTCAAAAAGCATTTCGGACCTAGATAAAATGGAATTCTATACTACGGAGTACATCTTTTCAAATAGGCCGTTGATAAAAAATAATCCGTATTTCCTTTAAAAAGAAATTCAGTATTTAAAAAAGTGAAATTTGCATTAAATAGGATTAAAATATAATGACTTTTCTAATATAGGATTTAAACTTTTTTATTCTCTAAATAGGATTTAATAATGACCTAGTGGGAGGAATAATGTCCAGTAGTGATGGACATTTACTTGAATAATGACTACTTTATAATGACCAAAGGTCCTACATTGGGAAATAAAAACATATAGTCCTATATTGGGAAAATCATTATGTTTTAGTCCTATTTAGGTAAATTTCTCTTTAAAAAATCACAAAAATATTTCAAAAACTAAAGATGTTAGTAATTCTATGAGAAAAGTGTACCGTTTATCCTTTAATCTTTAGAAATTGTATTGTTTATCCTTGAACATTAAAATTGTATATTTTATTCTCAAACTTTGCAGAAATTACAAGATTTATCTCTATTCATTAAAAAGTATATCAAATATCCCTGAACAATTTAAAATGTTGTACCATTGGTCCTACAATGTTAGATAGGGAATGCATTGCTCCCACGCGCAGAAATTGCAAGTATGATTCATCAGACTCTTATGAATTTTCCAAATTACCCTTCCAAAAATTTATCGTCTTAATTTAAATATTCAGGGGTATTTGGTGCATTTTTTAATGTTTAAGAGTAATTCATATAATTTCTAAATAATTCGAGGTTATTTGGTTCACTTTTTAATGTTTAGGGTATATCGTGTTATATCCGAATAATTCACGGGTAAATGGTGCACTTTTTCTCGTAATTTTACATTAAAATTACGACATTAGAATTGGCGACTTCAATTCCAATTCTATCGTTTAATAATACAAAAATATATCGATATGGAATTGAGTTATTATATTTCTAAATTTAAATTCTACATGTCAAAATGAAATCACTTGGATCCTTTCCGATCATAACAAAGAAACGGGTTTTAATAGCTTTTCGACAAATATTTGATTCTCTGACACACTTTGACTTCGTTCACCAATCGAATAAGCCAAATAAAAATAACAAATTAAGAATTTTAAAAACTTAAAACCTAAAATCTAGAATCTAAAATTATAAATTTTAAAATTCAAAAATAAAAATTTCGAATTTAAAATTTAAAAACTAGACTATACTAAATAAAAATAAATAATAAAAATTAAAACTAAAAAATAAATACTAAAAATTTAAAATTTTGAAATTAAGGATTTAAAATTTTGAAATTCATAATTCAATATTTAAAACAAACATTAAAAACACAAAAGTTAAAAATTAAAAATTAAAAATTTAAAATATGAAAATTTTAATTTAAAAGTAAAAACCTAAAAAATAAAAATGTAAAAGTGAAAGTTCAATTAAAAACTACTAAGTAGAGATTAAAAATTCAAAACTAAAAATTTAAATTCAGGAATTTTAAATTTAAAAATTAAAATATAAAACAATTAATTATTAAATAAAAATTAAAAATAAATAACTAAACCCAACGCCACCCAAATTTAAAACATTAGAGTTTCACATGCAAGGCTTAGAAAAGATTACACGTGCACGTGAGGGGGCATGTGAGAATATGAAAAACCTTTTTCTAGGCCACAATCACAAGTTTGAGCTGTTGGTTGAGTTGGTTCCTTGACATATGTTACTAGAGTAATTTTCATTTCAAAAAAATAAAAAAATAGAATAATAAAAATAATATGCATTCCTCTAATTACATTAAACAAAGTGATATATTTAGTTTGAGGTGCATGAAATATATGTTAATTCATTTATTTTTTTAGTTTAGATATTAACTATTTTTTATTTTGGAAACTATTATATAAATATTTTTTTGAAAGCTAGTTTGTTTTCTAAAAAAGTTGTGTAGAAGGCAAGAGGAAGTAAGAGCAATTAAAATGGGGGGGGGGGGGGGNTCATGAATTAAAGCATGTGTACCTGATAATCATGATTCTGATGGAAATCACGTTCTTGTTAAGGGTGTATTGTTATGATGGTTAAGGTGAAGATGAGACTCAGTAGAATAGAGAGGCAGGGGAGAGGCATAAGATTGGTGTGTTAGCTTCTGCCTAATGACCTCTATATTTACACCCAAGGGGAACCCTTAATTAGGTTGTAAGAATAATTACGCCCATTGAATAATTATCAATTAAATACGTAAGATATTTATTAGGTCAATGATCAACTAATTAGATAAACTATAACTCAGACCTCATGATAAAAAAATAGGGGTGGGCACGGATCGGGACGGTCCAGATTTTAGGTTATCCCACATCTTGTCCTGTTATATATTAATGGTCCGGAACGGTTCAAATTACAATATTATCCCGATTTGTCTCACAAAATTCAGGATCGGAATAAACCGGGACGGATTTGGGTCATCCTACTTTGTTCTAATCGCAAATATAAGAAGGGGGAGAGGGTGACATTTCATTCAAAAAGAGAAATATCTAGCCATCCAACAAAAAACAATGAGTGAAACGGAACCAAATAAATTTAATAAACTTTGGGCTGAAACCTCAAACCTATGAAGTTAACTTAATTGATTAATTAATTAATTAAAGAATGAGTGTATTTGAATTTTGGACTAGAATTAGTATTAAATATTAGTAGAGTAGATGAAACGGGACAAATGGGACATATCAGTATATATTTAAGTTGTCCCGCTCATGTACCATTTGATATTGGGATGGAACGGGTTCGGGTTAAAAAATGTATCCCAATTAATCAGAACAATTACAAAACGGATCTGAGATTTTTCGGAACAATCCAACGGGAACGGATTTCATGCCCACCCTATAAAAAACTGTGTCCTACATTTTCCCACTGGGCTGAGTAATCAAGTTAATGATGAGTACTAGATAAGTCTGATAAGATTTTACTACTCATTTTAGTTCTACACTGAAACTTTATCTGAGAAGTGCAATCATTGAATCGATACTCATTTCAAGACCTCTATTAATCATACTACAATACCACATTTAAAACTTAAGTAAGCTAAGGACCAAATTGATAATTAAGCCCTCCATATTAATTTGTATATAACTATGGAATACATGTCTTTAGGAATGCATAGACACATTTAGAGACAGACAAAACAAAACAATGAGGAAATTTTATTACTAAATGTATGCAATTCAAGTACAATATGCAACTAATTAATGTCTTTAGTAAACCCCATTTTTGAAACATGTTCTTCAAAAATTTTAAGAGGAAGACCTTTAGTCATTAGATCAGCAAAGATATTCTTAGTACTTATATGTTCAATACAAAGTTTGTTTTTCTCAACTTGCTCACATACGAACAAATACTTTGTATCGAGATATAAAGCAGCTCTAGTCAAGCTGTTATTGTTCAAGAAACTAACGGCGACTGAGTTATCACCGTAAAGATGCAATGGCGGAGAGATAGAATTATAACTACTTTGACTCTAGTGATGAGATTCCTAAGCAACATCCCATGACAGGTTACATTATACATTGAAATGTATTCTGCCATCATTGTGGAAGTTGTACTGAACTCTTTCTTATGACTCTTCCACGAGATAGGTCCGCTAGCTAACATAAAGATATACCCTAAAGTTGAATTCTTGTCATCTTTGCACTTAGCAAAATCAAAACCAGAATTACCAACCACTTCTAAATTATCACTCCTTCTGTAAGTCAGTTTCTTGTCTATCGTCCCTTGTAGATATCGAAAACTTTCTTAACTGCTTCCCAGTGATCAACGCTATGATTTGTTAAATAACAACTTAGCATTCCAGCAGTATAAACACTATCTAAGAAAGTACAGACTTGTGCATACATAAGGCTTCCAACTGATGATGCATAAGGTATCGTTCTCATTTGCTCATTTTCAACTTATGTTTTCGGACATTAAAATAAACCGAGAAAATCTCCACACACACACACACACACATATATATAGACACACACACACAAGCATATAATAAATACAGGCAACACAATATCTTATTTCTTATTGTCAGAATATAAGTAACTGTTCCTGGGCCACAACCACAAGCTTGAGCTTTTGGTTGAGTTGGTTCCTTGACACTTATGATGTAACAAAAAACTGACAACACTTTTTCATTATACAAATGATCCTTCTTTACTCCATCATAACCCATTCTTGAAATGTAACCCTCACTGGTAAATGTATTTATTTTATTTGATATATCAAAATTTCGGCAGCATTTCCCAATGGTTCTCCAAGTGCATGATGTAATGTAGTTATATATGCACCCAAAGAACACATTTAGGAAACTTCAAACAAAAAAATGACAGATTAAAGAGAAAAATACATTCACTACCTAAGTAAGAGAAGCATTTCAAGAACAGCTCCAAACTGGGAGTTATTTAAAATTTACTCCTAATGAGTAAATTTTAACCGGGTATATAGGTCGGTCAATATATGTTATTTCTATATTATAACATCTCAAATAATGTAGAATCAAACAAAAAGTAATTAAAAAATCTATATTTCAAACACAATCTATATCACAATGTCACATTTCAACTTAAACTTACATATCACTTGTGAGTTCTATAATATGTTTTCTCAAGCATTATTGTTTCCTACATTTTAAACCTCATGAAAGTCTAGATAATTATTCCCACTTTAGCTTTCGATGACCAAACTCAAAGCTCGGGCATCAGTCAATCAATCTTTTCATCATCGATCAATCTTTGTAACATAGTGACACTATGTTTGTTTTGAGTTCAACTCATTTGTCATCATCGATCAATCTTTCCATATCTTTTTTTAATATTTTTAAAATGATTACAACTTTAAATTTGTAGCTCACATACTTTCATAAGATATGTCATTGTATTTCTCTCTTTGACCTATCAAATAAATATTATTTTAATTGCTCCCTTTGTACTAAAATGATATTCCCAGTATAGTTTACTATGTTTGACTGAAATGATTTTCAATTCAATTTATTTGATTATAAGTGTAAAATTAAAAAATAAAAATTATATATTTTAAAACTACATCAAAAGCTCTACAAAACAATATGTGGCATGATTATATTATTTTATCAAATAACTAACGAAATTAGGTTAAAAAAGCGATTAAAGTTTGACCATGTGAATAATGATTGGGAAGATCATTTTAGGACGGAGAGTATAAATTATTCAATTTAAAATTCTTGAACTATACTTTGACTAAATCACTATTCGCAGGTTATTTGAATAAATTTAAATATATTTCACTATTTCAACTTTAGCGCATTTAAGTTTTCAATCACGAGGTGTACTTATAATGTATTTTTGATATTTTTTTATTATCCAAAGGATTTTGATAAAGAAATAATATCTAAAATAATATTTTTCCCTGCTCTACCCTTGGACCTACTATCGAGGTCTGCTGCCCTCAGATCCCGCTAAGAAATTTATAATATATCATTGAGTAAGCCTGTACTGCACTCTGAACTCATTAACAATGTTTATTAAAAATATGTCTGGGTGGAGGTGGTGGCGCCGGAAGCAAGGCACGATAGCAGTGGTGATGGTCTACGCGAGAGGATGGAAGAGGTGGTGGTAGTCTTCCTTAATATTTTTAAATGAACATTATATTACTTGTAAATGAACATTTTATGTAATTGTGATAGATATTTATGTTTGTTTCAAACATGTACCCATGAATTTGTAAATGTGCAAAATGAATATTCTATTCTTCGTAAATGAATAATTAACAAAGCTATAACTAAAATAAAAAGGAGATTTTTACACCATTTACCTCTGAACTCATTAAAAAATTACACAGATTTCTCCTGAGCTTTAAAAATTCTCCCAATGGTCCCTGAATTTTTAAAAACGTTGCATCAATGGTCCCTCTACCTCGAAGTTGAAAGTATGTTAATCACACACTTGTCTAGTGCACAAAAGCAAATTCATCTAAACTCATATATCACACGTGACTTTTACAATATGTTTTCTCGAACAATATTTTCAATATTTTAAGCCTCTTGAAACCCCAAATAATTATTTTCATTTTAGCCTTCGTTAACCGAATTCGACGCTCGGGCATCTGTCAATCAATCGATTATCTTTTAATCAATCAATGACATCTTCATCAAATTCTAACATGGAAATTTATGAGTGTGCGATTAACACACTATCAAAATTGGCACCGAGGGACTATTGATGCAATATTATTAAAAGTTTAAAGATCATTAGTGCAATTTCTAAAAATAATGAGAAATCTGTTCAATTTTTGAAGAGTCTAAAGTACATGTATCAAAAAAACTCAAATACTCCGTCCGTCCATTAATTTTTTTTATAATTTTTCTTTTTGAGATGTCCAAAATTTCTTTTCTATTTCCTATTTTGGAAACAGAATTTTAATGAACGTGTCATTATATCCTTATTTTTATCTATATTATTTACTTTATTTTATCATATCAAAGGAAAATATGAAAAGTATGTACAATTTTTAACCTTTTCTAATCTCCATATCAAATCAAAATAGAAAGAAATTTTTGAAGGGAGAGAGTAAAAAGTACTTCCTCCATCCCCAATTTGATTACAACTTTTTTCCTCTCCTCTCGATAACTTTTATTTATTTACGCGATTTTATTAAGTATTTGATAAAATAAAACATTCTTGTCACCTCTTATTTTGTCAAACGTTTGAAGTAATTTTTTAATATGTAATTTTTATTTCTTATCGATATATCAATTTGTAAATAAAATGATTTCAAAAAATAAAATATTTCTCTTCGTAAACTGCAATTTATAATCAAATTAGGGAGGGAGGGGTATATGAAAAGTCAAATGAACTTTTTTTGCTTTGTTATTGGTGGGCTTATGGTATACCAACTCCACTCGAAGTCGCTTCTGCTGTGAATCTGTGATCTAGTTTAGGAGTGCTTTACCTTCTCTCCAACAAGCCATCAACCATCGCACGCCCAAACTCAGGGCTTCACGTTCATAGCCCTGCAACTACCCCTTTCTCCATGATCACCTTCTTCTCCGATACGTAGAAATACTCTTTCTTCATTCTTATCCCCCAAACCTTTTGCAGTCTGAACTGAAATCAAAATTTTCACAGTGAACCATCATCATCTTCGGGTCTCTTTGACTTGGAATTCCCCCTCAAAATCCTACACTTCCTTCCCCTCTCTAAGTCAACTTATCTTTGTTGCAGACCGGTGAACGCTGCATTCTGTTGTTGATTCCTTGACGGCTAGGCCGGAGCGAACTCTAGGAGCTTTCGAGGGATTTTTCAACACTAACCTCTGTTCTCTGAATTTTGTCACTGGAATGTCGCAGATCTTGGAAACTATTCGGTTGTAAGGACTGAACTTGGGGTTTTTCGAGGATCGGGACTTATTTTCTCCAGCTCATATGATTTGCGCCCTAATTTTTGATGGCATTGAGCGTCAGGAAATCTTACCCATCCAATGACCGTATATTATTTCCGTTTTGCCTTTTTTTATTATAGCTGTGACTCATCACTCATGAAACTATGTAACTTATAGGAGTAGGGAACCCAGGCAGTTTTGAACTCTTTTTGGACTGAGGTTTGGGTGAAAGGACTGTGGTCTCTCAGGTTTAGGGTTTGTCTGTGGTTTGTCATGGCTATTTAGGGTTCATCAACCTCCATTTGCTCAATTATGGCCGAACGTGATTATTGCTTTGTGGAATGGAAAGAAAAGTTTGTTTCAAAAGAGAGGGGCAATCGTGTGGTTCATTATTTCTTGAAGGACAGTTCTGGGGATTCTGTGCTTGCTATTGTCGGCACTGAGAGAAGTGTCCGGCACATGTTCTATGTTGTTTCAGAAGAGTTCTTGAAAGTACATGGTGCTGAGACTTCAATTCAAGCTGGCTTCAGATGGAGATCCAGAAGAGAGGTTGTCAACTGGCTCACATCTATGCTATCCAAGCAGAATAGGCAGAGTTATTACTGCTCAAGTATGCTTAGTGTTACCCTATTTTGTCTTTCTTACCTCTCAATATTATTTCCATTATCTCTTTTTGGGAATCAAATAAAATGGACAATGATAGGAGAATTGCAAGCTAACCATGAAGGGCTAAATATACTTTGTTGCTATGCATAAATTGTAGTTCACGTTTATCTGAACCTTTTTTTTAAATCCTGGATTAGTTTCAATCTTAAAGAATCTTGGTTATTATATGGCCAGTTTACAAGTCTTTGCCGGGGAATATTTGCAGATATCATATCCCCATAGTGTAAATCAATTGAATGGAAGTTAGATCTTCACTTGGTCCTTTTTTTATTTACCTTTCGAGCATTGACACAGTACCACCAAACAATTTAACTTAACAGATCACTGAAATAGAGATTCATGACAGGGTAACATAAAAAAACAGAACTTAGAGATTCATAACAGATGTACTCAAATTTACCCCTATAAAATAGAGTGGCTGTTTCGATTAGATCCTTGATTCATTGTTTCATTTACTGTCTGAAACTTCATTGAAGTTCATGTGGTCAACTAATTACGTGGAGCTAGAACGTTGCCAATAATGACTCTTTTAGCTCCATGGTTCTATTTAATCAATTGTCTAGTTAAAGTAACAAGCCAACCTTTTTCATTTTAATTTTGTTAGTGGTTAATGGGGGAGAGGAAAACCAAACAGATGACCTACTGGGAGTGTAAGAACATTATCTTGGTTTATCTATTTCATTATTTGACCCTAGTTTCCCACTACCTGTGACCCCTCATTCCTGAACTATTCTCCGTGATACCTCATGTGCACATGCCCTTATGCATTAATGGTCTGATTCATTGGTAATCTTCAAACTCAAACTCAAACATATACATTCCAATTGAGAACATTCATGTGCATATGGCTTGGTTTATACACTCATAATCCAGTTTGATCCTATTTAACAATTTTGATGCATGAATTGTCCATTGTTAGACACTTTAATCTTCTTTTTGCTTTCCGTTAGTAGTGTTATCACCTTAAAAATGGTATATCCTTGGTGCGTTTTCTTCATTTTGTGTCACAAACTCACAGTATTTAAAAATACTTTTATATATTTTAATGTTCTCAACATTTAACAAACAGAATTGGTAAAAGATGATCCAGCATCCAGAGTCAATTTTGAACGAAGTGAGGTGACAGATGATAAGGTAAAACCTTCCCTTTTAAATTATGATACCTTTCTTGCCATCACTTGTTTTTCATGCTCATATGTTCTGTGTATCAGGGACGTCTAGCCAGGATTTTGAATGGACCATCTCCGGATATAGTATGGTCAGGTGAACCATGGACATGTGGTAAACAGCTAAAGCATTACCCAGGATTTCGCAGGAATGGGATTGCAATCACAGTTAGTGTACCTCCATACAATATTCCATCCTCTACTCAAAATTTTTAATGATATTTAGCATAAATTTTGAGGTTATAGAAATGCAATCTTAAAATATTCTCTAATCATTTATCTTATTGTAACCCAATATCTTTAAAAGTGTCACTTTCCCTACCTTGGTGTCAGCACCACCCATTATGATGTTTTACCTATTCCTTTCAATCAAAGTTGGCTTATTGGAACTATCTATTTATCCTGAATCCTGATACCTGAATGAATGCAGACACATTCATTTGTCTTTGTGATGGCTGAAAAGGATAATCACTACCTCGCGTATCTGGAGGATATGTATGAGGATAGGAAAGGCCAGAAAAAGGTTAAAGTCAGATGGTTCCACTTTAATCAGGAAGTCAGAGGCATTGTCACCTTGCGGAATCTGAATCCCAGAGAAGTATTTATGACACCTTGTGCTCAAATCATCAGTGCAGAGTGTGTTGATGGCCCTGCGATTGTACTGACTAGAGCACATTATCATAAATGTGCAGCAGTTTTTCCAAGCGACTTGCTATCAAGAGTACACTTTTGCTTTAGGCAGTTTAAGAACAAGAGAGTGAAGCCTTTTGAGCTGGATAAATTGCGTGGCTATTTTAATCAACCAATTTTCTCATGTTTCAGTCCTGATTTTTTCGAAGATGAAGAGTTTACTATGAGAGATGAAATTAAAGTTGGATCTAAAAGGCACATAATTTATGAAGAGCATGAGATGGAGGCATTGGAAAAATCATACCCAACGTTGAAAAGTAGTTTCTTCGGCGGTAGAGGATTGAACTCTCACAAGCAAGTTGAATGCCAGCTTTGGCATATGCTGAACTTTAAGGTTGATGAAAAGATTGAATTTTTATGCCAAGATAGTGGAATGCGAGGCTGCTGGTTCCGATGCACGGTCCTGGAGATATCCAGAAGACAATTAAAAATCCGATATGACGACTTAAAGGATGAAGATGGTCGTGGTAACCTTGAGGTATGTATGTTTTGGAATTTATAAGTAGGCAGACATGGGTAACATTATATTGATTTATAACAAACTGACCTATTTTTTTTGAAAAATATTTTTTTAATGTGATAGGAGTGGGTCCCGGCATCTAGAGTTGCCAGGCCGGATAGACTTGGAATTCGAAATCGATTCCGTCCAACAGTTAGACCGGCTCCACCTTGTGAAAAAGAAGGCGACCATATCTTTGAGTCTGGTGTTTCAGTTGATGCTTGGTGGAGTGATGGATGGTGGGAAGGTGTTGTTACTGACACCAGTAACTGTGTGGTTGAAGGCTATCAAGTTTATATTCCCAGTAAGTTTTTTTAACTAAATTAAATTCTATATCCACGCAAATTCCCTGAATACTTTCCTTTTGCTCTTTTGTGTGATTTTTCACTCTGACTTGCATTGCCTTTGATCTTTTATTATTAGGTGAAGATCTATTCCTGAGTGTAGACAGTAAGAACATAAGAATTTCAAAGGACTGGGTTGGAGATCGGTGGGTTGATATTGAGACAAATCGTGATATTGTTTCAATCATCATTGGTAATGCCGCAAAAGAGACAAAGCTCTCTGAGTCTACTCTGAAGGATGCAAATGAAACACCTGATTTTGATGAAACGAAACACACAACAATGGAGGATGGAGATGCTTTCCCAAAAACAATAATGCCAACAGATGGCATATCAGAAGATTTAGGCCTGGTCAACGACTACGACCAAGAAACTGTAGATGATAGGGGAGGAGTGAGTACAAAGCCAGAAGAAGCCAGCATTGCTGATAAACTTGATGGCAATGATGGATAATGTGGTTGACGAAGAAGATAAAACAGGCAAACATGGAAATGGCGTAGTTCTTGTTCAGAAAATCACGGCAGTAGTTGGAACCCTTGCAAGTGTTCAGAAGTGTTGTATATATAGAGAAGACCGAGGAAGGCAAGAGTCTGCATTCCTGGTTTTTTTTAAAATTCTTTTTGGAACTCAAACAATTACGAGCCATTTTAGTTGTATAGCTATTTATCTTGAACTAGATTATTGATAGGAAAATGAAGAACCTAGAACCATTAGAATCTTTCTGGATTCAATCTCTAGTAGTCCATAACATAACCTTGTACTCCCCCCTGTTCTCCAAAACATTTCTTTTATCATTCTTTTCTCTTCCATTAAAATCTATCTACTTTTTATACAAAAAAACTATTTTTACTCCTATTTTTTATCCAATTATCACATTATATTTTTTTTCTAATAATTTATCTATCAAATCTTACAAGGGTAAAATTGGAAGTCAATTACAACTTAACACTTTCTTATGTTGGTACTTGGTCAAAATGAATAGTGTTTTCAAGAACGGAGAGAGTAACTTACAATGTCCTTTTGTAACATAGTAAAACACATGCAGAAATTTGTACTGGAGTTGTTCATTTACAGTTATGTTCAACTAATTGTCGCCATTTCTGGGAAGAGGCATTTGAATCGGTTATTTGGTAATAACCGATTCAAAAGCCTCCCTTTTGAATCGGTTATTACCAAATAACCGATTCAAAAGCCCTTTTGCCATTTCTGGGAATAGACTTTTAAATCGGTTATTACTAGATAACCGATGCAAAAAATAATTTTTTTCAAAATGAATTTTTTGTTTGCTCCCAATCCACTACATTTTCAATTTTGCATAGAATTCTGTGCAAAATATACAGATTCAACAACAACAAGAATTCAACCCATCAACACAACAACTAACACAAACCAATAACAAACACAAATACATTCACAAAACTCAAAAGCCACAAAACAAATTAAACCAACAAAGTAAACATTTACATCCACCACTTGTACATCTTTAAAAATACCAAGAGTAAAACAACTACTCTTCTAAGTTTTAACAACACAACTAAGAGTCAAACAACTACACTCTACTAACATACATTTAATACTATACAATATAACACAAACTTACACTAGTTCATCGAGAAAACCCCCGCCCAAAGCTCTCTAACCTCTTCTAATTCGGCTCTAGTATAAGGCGAAGTAGACTGAAATACCTGCAATACGAAAACAACATACAACATAAAGTTTAATAATCTATGAAAAAGAAAATGATGATAAACACTTCATTACTTTCAAAAACACACTAAAATAAACTTACATCGGATAACGGTAAAGAACCTTGTGCACACATAGTGACGATGAGCCATAAAAATCGCATGGTATAATAACCACACTCAACGTTCCCTACTTGTTGGGGTACTCCGGGAACATCAACCCAATCCGGTCGAGCCTTAAGCTGAGGCATGTGCCGTTCCCAAAGTAACCGCCAAGACCTTTAATATATGTAAAAAAAAAATTAATAAGAAATTAATATCTTAACAAATAAAGAATTTCATTAATAAGAAATAAATTTCTTAATAATTACTCGTTGACGAAAGTCTTCACCTTCATTTTCTTATGCCCTTCGGCCGCCTTGATTGAGTTTAGGAAATACACTTTGTTTTCAAACAAACGTATTACAACTAACACCCAATGATGCCTACAATTGAAAAAGCGTTAGTCACTAACTTAAAACAAAAAACCGAAATACATATTGGAAATGGTTTAGAAAATACACTTTGTTTTCGATAGATACAACGGCATAAGTATCCAGAGTCGCGATAGATACACTTTGAGTCGTCCCCACAATGGCGAGTTCTTTTTCCTTTTATAGTACTTCTAACATTGTAATTAAAATTATACATAATGGGAGGGATTATGGAGATGATGGGGTTGTGATTCCCTCTTTTCCGGTCTCGTTCTCTCCCCATCTCGTCCATAATCTGGTGGTGTGGTCCACGTGTCCTGCTCCTTCTCTGGACTGGGTCGTCTTGATTTAATCCATGATTGGGCCGTCCCTTTCCCATCTGCCATGCGTGTAGTAGTGGGCTCGGCCCGTTACCCCCACCTGGCCTTATCCATATTGTGCTATTATGGGCCTTTATTGGGCCTGGAGCCGGGTCCATCAGACCCGATATCCATCACAAGCCCCCTAGTTTTCTGGCGACGTGTCGCTAGAAAACTAATGATGATCCGCCTTCGGGTTTCGTGTCGGATCAGAAACGTCGCACTCGAGTGCCTTGGGCCCCTCCTTTCAACGGATATAACCCTTTCCGGACTCGTCTTCTTCCTCATTCGCTATCGAATTTCAACCCGACCCGAATTCCGATTGCGATTTCCCCCAAATTCTCGCTCCCTCCTCCGAAATGGCTCCTGTAGATCCCGCAACCTGGACCCATGAATCCTCTATCATCAAGGAGGATGAACTTCGTGAAGTGGCCGAGCTTCTGGGCAGAGGCTTCCGGGTCCACCATCCCAATGCTGCCGGAGGTATTAGCTTATCTCATAACCCAAACCCCTAGAAGTATATGGTCATGCACTACCACTCCGTGGAGAACGGGTTCAGATTGCCCCTCCACGGTTTGGTTTGCGACATCTGCCACCATTTTGAATTCGTCCCCAGTGAGTTGACTGCAAATGCGCACAAGTATGTCGCGTCCTACATCTTGCGATGATGTGCCCTGGATAGAACCCCAACGCTGGACGAATTCCTCGTCCTTTTCAGTATCGGCGATCCTTTTCCCTACTATAGTCTATTTCCTCATCCCCAATCTCCAATTTTTGAGAGGGCTGAGTTAAAAATCGACAAGTGGGCACGCCGCTATTTCGTCATCGAGTTTCCAGTAGGGATGGCAATTCAACCCGAACCCGAGCTTAACCGACCCGACCGACCACTAACATATCCGAACTCGAACCGAGAATAAAATAATCCGAACCCGACCCGAAATTTTTTACCCGAACCCGACATCGGGTCGGGTCGGGTGTGGATTTATAATTTTACCCGACCCGACCCGAACCCGCGCCCAACCCGACTAAAACCGAATATTTTATTACATAAAAGCCTATCTATGGATATAATAAGCACTCCGTATAATTTCTTGACAAAGTGCTACTATATCAAGTATGCTTTTTATAATCATTTTTATAATTCCTTAATAAAAAATGAGACATAAAAAAGAGACATGAAAAAATTAGATTTAATCATTTCAAAATTATTGGGATATGTCGAATTGATTATTGGTTAAAAGTCGGGTTCGGGTCAGGTTCGGGTTTCGGGTTGAAATGTCGGGTTCGGTTCGGGTCGGGTTTTTACCTTAAAAGGTCGGGTTTCGGGTCGGGTTCGGGTTTCGGTTTTAAAAGTCGGGTCGGGTTCGGGTATAGTACTATCCGACCCGAACCCGACCCGTTGCCATCCCTAGTTTCCAGTCCACAGCCCTATAGATTTTCCGGGCACTGTACGCCGTAGCTCTATCTCCCGAACACCGTTCGCTGCTATACCCCTGGCGGAGGCGGCATATAACATCTTGAGAGAGGAAAGGGGTTTGATTCCGCATCACTCCCTTTAGGATACCAAGCTATACAAGAAGGTGGATTTTTATTACCCTTTCGGTCCTGACCTCATTCCGTTTGAAGGGGTGTCTTCCCCCGAAAGGTCAAAAACTCCTCCTGTTGTGGAATCCAACCCAGCCGGGAGCTCCTCCGGGAGCCAGGCCCAAGGCAACACCACTGCCTTGGCTGTTTGCAAACCGCCTGCTGCCTTGGACGTCATTCCCATCTCCGCCATTCTTGGGTTAAGGAAACCCACGCCATCCCGGAAACGACCACGGGAAGGGGTTACTGGCGATGATTTCCTTCCCAAGAATAATAAAAGTGAGGGTACTCCTGCTTCGCTCAGCCCCTTGACCACATCTTCTGGTACCCAGAGTACTGCCCCTGCTGCCGCATCCGGAGGTTTGGAGTTACCCAACCCGGATAGCTTAGATCGTGAGGGGGATGAACTTCTGGACCAGTCAGCACTCAAAAGACCTGCAGTGCAGCCTCAGCCTGAGGTGATCAATACCTCTCCACTAAGCGCAACCATTTCCCAAGGGGTAGAGGGAGAAGCTGACAGGCAGAAAGAGCCGGAGACTTCTCCTGCGAGAGAGAAGAAGGTTGAAGTGCAGAAAGAATTGGATGCCTGCTCCATGATGGAGAAGGAAGCTGAAAAGCAAAATTGTGCTTAGGCTCCTCCAGAGATAGAGAGAGATACTGAGAAACAACAGGAACCGGGAAAACAGCATTCCACTGTCACACCCCCAGCCTTCAACTCCCCATCCGGCGTAAGTTCACGCCGCAAACCTACCCTGCCTTTAGGGAGGGTTGGGCAGGCTTTTCCCGCGGTTTGAACTCCTTACAGGCCTCCCACTGGACTATCCAGGGAAATCTAGAGAAGATGAGGGAGTCAGTGCAGGAGCCTGCATTTCCCCAGGCACGCCCCGACTTGCTTGCCCTCAATGCTCTGCACTTCATGGAGCAGGTACTCTTCTTTTTCAAGAATCTCTTTATCCCTTTTTAGTTATCTCTTCCTTGACTTCCCTTCCCCTTTCCAGGCCCAACAATCACTCCTCACCCTGACTGAGCAGTACTTGGGTGGAGCATCAGGGAACTACCGGGCCGTAGTGGTCCTGAAGGAGAAGGAGTTGGCTGTCAGGGCTCTGCAGCAGAAAGTCGACACTCTGGAACAACAATTCCAGGTCCTCCAAGAAGAGAATGCCCGACTCAAGGCAAATGGCTCAATGGAACTAGCAGCTGAAAGGTCCAGGGTCAAGTCCCTGCAAGAGCAGATTTCTATTTACCAAAGGGGGACCCTGGATCTAGAAACACAGTTTGACAGACTCCAGGCGCAAATCTCCATCCTAGAGTCAAAGGTCTCAGCTTCAGAAGACAAGGTAGGGAGTCTAAAGACTGAGCTGGTTGAAAGGGAGTCCCGGATCTTTAAGCTAGAGAATTCCCTCCATGACGCCAAGCAGGAGAGCGCCCATCTCAACGACCTCGTGATAAAACACATAGAGGCGAAACGGCTTATCCTCGGGAAGTTGGAGAAAGAGAGACAGACTGCCAGCGAGCTCCGGTCAAGGATGGATGAACTGGAGAAGACAATAGCTGCTCATCAAGGGGAGGTGGCTGCCCTGACCACCCGCGCTGAGGCCCTCTACAAAGAAGGGAAGTTTGGTATGTAACACTGCATCTATGGGGCGATCCAGAGCGGTCTTCCGGAACACCGATCCTTGGATGACTTCATCTCTTACTATGGGTTACCTCTTCCTCTTCCTCCCCCAGATTCTCGTGCCAAACCAGGATCCTGATTCCTCAATCCATTGTTGTAACTCCTATTCTGTAATATTTAACCAGTAACAACTTGACAATGCTTGATGTGCTTCCGTCCTTGTTGACTCCTTTCGCTAATCTAACTGTTCTCCTTTTGGACTTCTTATTTCCCTTTAGGACCTAGCGAAAATTCTTTATCCGCCTAGGCTTTGGGCTTAACCGCGTTTACAAAGTACTGTTGTGTTTTTTTATCACCGCGTTAAGCGACTGGCCCAACTTAATTACGCCGAGCCCAATCACCTTAGCCCAGCAATGAAACGGTACAACCCTAGCTTCCCTCGGGAATCCGCAACTGTTTCTCCAATCGGATAAGTGCTTTGACTCTGCGTTCCTTGCACTTCTCCTCTAGGATTACTCACCTATTTAAGGGGATAGGCTGAACCCCTTCACAATCACAATTAAATCCTCAACATGGCTGATAATGCCAACAGAGTTGTCTTTATTGATCTTACTATTTCTGATTCTTCTTCGTTGGCATTCCCCTCACTTGGGGCCCCAACACCTGAACTCTCTTCCGGGCCTTCTTTCGCCTCTGAACAATAGGTGACTTCTCCCTTGCCCAGGGAGGAGAATCACCTTCATCTCCCCCAACTGGCATCAGGGGGTGCTCTTCCGGGTTCCAGCGCCCCTCCTAACGGTTCCAGAACGGAAGTTTCTTCTGGCTATCCTGGCACGTCCCGTCCGCAGAAGAGACGCAATCCCCACTCAGGAGCTTCCCGGTTGGTCTCTGGCGCGAGGCCTTCCTCCCAAGGTTCTCCCTCTCCTCAATAGTCATATGGACAGCACCCTGAGGAGTGGGGCGATTATGACATGGGGGGAAACAGGCATCCGTCTACCCGGAGGGAAAAGGACGAAACCTTCCAGGATCCGCCTCCCCCTTTGGCCTAGGCAGAATGATGCCGTAAATCCTCCTCTCGTGTCTCATCGTTCTCCTTGTCAGCCTTCATGGAAGTGACTGAAGGGCGTCCACGGGGAATGGTTTTCAATCCCACCCGTTGGTACCCTTTCGTTTTCCGTTTCTTTTGAAGGATGCATCAGGAGGATGATGGGTTCTCTCCACACCTTCCCGCTCCGGCATTCTTTCTGGTCCAGGCGGGGCAACAAGGGTCAGTGGATTCGCTCCCTCTATCACACCGTTCCTCCTGGACCCTTGAAGTGCCGTTTCACCTTCATATTTTCTTTTTTAGTAGTAGGATAAAAGTAGATCAGGGACAAAGTTCATTGTTGTAACCCAAAAGAATGTAATTTTCTACTTGAGTTATTTAATGAAAATCTTTATCTCCCGTCTCTTTAATGTTTTATTGTTAGATCAGGGATAAGGTCCATTGTTGTAACCCAAAAGAACGTAATTTTTTATTTGAGTTACTTAATGAAAGTCTTTATCTCCTGTCATTTAACATATGTATGTTGTGCGTGCCGCCATCTGCATGGAGTAGAAGTCTATATATATTTTAACTCCTTACTTTCCAAGGATGACATCTTTCCCAAAGTGCAGATGGGCCCAATCAACCGACCCATGCACTTAAGTGGCGAAAAACCCTGGTCAAACATTGGGAATCTTCAACCGCTTCATTCACCAATCGCTTAGTCTTTCACGTCTTTTAACCACATTCATTATTTCCCAACCATCCCTTCCCCCTCCACTATAAACGGGAAAGGGTGGTTTGCTGCTAGTTTATCCCTTTCTGATTTCTTTGCCATGGCGAGTAAATCTCAGAGTGAAGTCGTCTCGGATGATGATTTCTTCGCCTCTCCAGCTCAATCCAACGACGTGGCTGGGCTGAGTCCCGGCGAATTCTCAAGGCTATATCCGGCACTCCGTCTTCCTGCACCATCTCCTCCTAGTCCACCCAGGCTTCCATCCGAGAGGATAGGCTGGGACTCTATGACCCTCCAAGACTTCGCCTTGTACCAGAGGATGCGCAGGGCTAAACTTGGGCGTTCTTTGCCGTCTGCCGAGGCGGAACCTTCACGTGAAAGTCGGACTGCTTCTCCAAACTTGCTGAAGTCTCTCAATGATGGTTCTTCATTGGGAGCACCAGCTCCCCGTCCTGGGACGTGGGAAAACTATGACATAGAGGAGGCGGCTGATTCCGCCGCGTGCCCCTCGTCGCAGGGAAGGAGCCCGTGGAAGGGGCCCCCACCTCCTTCCTGTTGACTGCATGGATGCAATAGGACCTCCTTCAGTGCCTAGCCCCCTGCAAATTAAATTTCTTCTCCTTGTTTTATTTCAGGAGGCATTCACTTGTTGGGTCCAGGAGTTTTTCTTGCGTCCCATACTAAGAAATGTCCTTCAATTTCAGACTAGGAATTAATGTTGTAATTCAGAGATATAACCTCCGAATTAGCAATCGATGTACTCCCCATTTTCTGGTTTTTTTATCTCATTAGGAACCATAATTGTGAACCAAAAATGTAAACTTTGGTCCATCAATGTGGTCCTTAATGTTTATTTCTTTGCACTTTTACTAATGCAAGTACATATTTCATTCTCTGTATACAATCTCATCCCCCGGGGTTTGGACATGCCATGGGAACTTACCTCACCTGCCCCTGACCTCCTTTCCTCCGGGTTAAGGCATTATGTTATCTACCTTGGATCAGCTCCAACCCTCGAAGTTTGCTTGCTCGATTGATCTGTGCTGGTGGAGTACTAAGCTTCAGCCCTCGAAGTCTGCTTGCTGTTCTTCCCGAATTCCAGGTTGTAAAGGCCCTCAAAGTCCAATCTCAACCCTTCCTTCATTTTTGACGTAGGCATAAACTTATCTACCTCCCCTATTTTTAGCAGGTGACATAAACTTATCTACCTCCCAGTAATGTGGGTCTATATCGCCCGGGGGTGCTCTCCCCTTTTTTTGATGGAATTTATAGAGCAATAAAAATGCAAAGGCACTTGGCTTCAAAGGAAAGAAAATTTTATTGAAACAAAACCTCATAAATTCAAAGATAGAGCGCTTTGCAAAATGATTTTACTGATAAAATTTAACCAAGTGCTCTACATTCCATGTCTTATAAATTTCTTTTCCCTTTGGAGTCACCAACTTGTAGGTACCTGAGCGAACAACGGCCTTGATGATATAAGGTCCTTCATATTTCTTAGCCAGCTTCCCACCTTTAGTTGGTTGACTCTTCTCTCGCTTCCTCAGGACGTAATCTCCCACCTGGAATGCCCTCGGTTTCACCCTACTGTCAAAGTAAGATTTCACCTGGCGTCGATAATTCTCTGCCCGGATCCGTGCCTCATCCCTTCTTTCTTCTATGAAATTCAACTCTATGGCCTGATTTTGTTCGTTCACTTCCGGGTCATATCCCATTTCTCTCCTGGTAGGGATCACTGTCTCAGCTGGAGCCAGGGCTTCAAAACCATAAGCTAAGCCAAAGGGAGTGTCACCCGTAGCCCTCCTTGGAGTTGTTCTGTACGTCCACAGGATTCTGGGCAATTCATCCACCCATTTGCTTCCTCTTTATTCCACTTATGATTGTCCTGTTGACGTTCTCCACCTGTCCATTAGCCGGAGGGTAGGCTACAGACAATTTCGTATGCTGAATTCCCCAAGTTTTGAGGAAGTCTTGGAACTCTGCTTCCTCAAACTGGGTTCCATTGTCAGATATGATCTACTTCGGGACTCCAAATCTACAAAGTACGTTGGTTCCCACGAAATCGATCATTTGCCTTCCAGTTATCCCAACAAGTGGTTCAGCTTCTACCCACTTGGTAAAGTAGTCAATGGCCACCACTATCCACCTTGCCTGTCCAACTCCTTTTGGCAGGGCTCCAACAATATCAATCCCCCACCTTGAGAAGGGAATCACGGAGCTGATGGGCGTGTAGTTCGTGGCTGGCCTCCCGGGCATATTCTGGAATTGTTGACAACTTGGGCACTTGCGCACATACTCCTCGCAATCCTTCCTCATCATTGGCTAAAAATACCCCTCGATAATCGCCCTTCTGGAGATAGAGTATGGACCCTGATGTGCAGCACATACTCCCTCATGTATTTCCTCCATCAGTGCCTTTGCCTCTGCTGCCCTAAGACAGCGGAGCAGAACGCCGTTGTAAGACCGTTTATAAAGGACTCCATCCTGCACCTCGTAGGTGGGTGCCCTCATCCGCAGCAAATGGGCTTCTTGGGGATCTTCCGGGGCTACACCGTCCTCAATGTATCTTTCCAACCTGTCCAACCATTCCGGGGGATCAGCTGATACCCAAAATGCCTCATCTCTGTTGAGACTCGGAGCTGCCAGCTCCTTGACAGTTGCCAATCGGCTTATGTATTCTGGTGATTCTGCGCTAAGCTTGGATAGAACATCATCTTCCGCGTTCTGGGTCCGGGGTATATGTTCAAGCTTAAACTCAAACTTTCCCAACATCTCCAAGGACAAATTTCGGTAGCTTTTCATCCTCTCTTCCTTTGCTTCAAACTCCCCAGTGGTTTGTCCCACCACCAGTCAGGAGTCGTTGTATACTTGAACCCTGGACACTCCTAGCTTGCCAAGAATCTTCAGTCCGTTGATTAGGGCTTCGTATTCAGCTTCATTGTTGGATACGAGGAACTGAAACCTGACAGTGTAATATATCCGGAAATTTTCCGGAGTAATCAGAACAATTCTTGCTCCACAAGATCGAGACCCAGAAGATCCATCGATGCTCATTACCCACCAGTCATCGTCTACCCGGGTATCAACCTGTGCTCTTGTCATCTCCCTGGCAGTACACTCGACTTGGAAGTTAGCGAGTGCTTGCCCTTTGATCGATGGGCGCGGCCTGAACACCACATTATACTGACTGATGAAGACCGCCCATTTGGTCATCCAGGCGGATTCCGCCGGGCTCCGGGTAAGTGATGCCAAAGGCTCGTCGGTGAGCACAATAATCCGGTGAGCCTGAAAGTACGGGGTTAATCTCTTCTCCGTCCAAAAGACCGCTAACATGGCCTTCTCTGGACGGGAATACCTTAACTCCGCATCTCTCAAAGTCTTACTAATGTAGTAAACCGGATGTTGGGCCCCATTCTCTTCCCTCACAATCACAGTACTTATGGCACATTCTGCAATTGCCAAGTATAGAGTCAGGATGTCTCCAGGTTCTGGTTTAGATAAAACCGGCGGACTTGCCATATATCTCTTCAGTTCTTCAAATTCTTCTTGACATTCCCGCGTCCACTCGAAGGTCGCCCTCTTCTTGATTACCATAAAGAATGGATGCGCCTTCTCTGCCAGCTTTGAAAGGAAACGATTCAAAGCCGCCAATCTTCCGGTCAGCCGCTGAACTTCTTTTGCTGTCTTCGGGGGTTCCATCTCTATGATGGCCCTAACTTTATCCGGGTTCGCCTCAATCCCTTTCCGGCTAACCATGTGCCCAAGGAACTTTCCACCTTGAACAGCAAAAGTACATTTCTTCGGGTTCAATCTCAAATTTACCTTCATCATGATTTCAAAGACCTGCTCAAGGTCCCGGACATGGTCTCGGGCCTCTTTGGACTTGACAATCATGTCATCGACATATGCTTCCATGGTTCGCCCGAGGACGGCCTTGAACACTTGAGAAACCATCCGGGTGTATGTCGCCCCAGAATTTCTCAGTCCAAAGGCCATCACCAAGTAACAGTACAGCCCTTCCAGGGTCATGAAACTCGTCTTTTCAGCATCATCCGGGTGCATCCGAATCTGATGGTAGCCGCTGAAAGCATCCATGAAGCTCATTAACTCTGATCCGGCAGTCTCATCCACCATCTGGTCAATGTTGGGAAGAGGGAACGGATCCATGGGGCAGGCCTTGTTCAAATCTGTGTAGTTGATGCACATTCTCCACGAAGGGGGCTTGGGCGCCAGAACTACGTTTGCCAACCAATCCGGGTATTGCACCTCCCGGATGTGACCAATGTTCTGCAAAGTTGCTACCTCCTTCTTTACGAAATCCCTCCTTTCTTGCGACAAATGCCTTCGCTTCTGCTTCACCGGTTTAGCATCTCGCAGGACATTAAGGCGATGAACTGCAATCTTGTGATCCAGTCCTGGTATATCAACTGGACTCCATGCAAAGACCTTCCTGGACCTTCTAAGGACTAAGATCACTCGTGATCTGAGTTCAGCCCCTAGGCCCCTGCCAATTCTGACTAACCTCCCCGGTGTGCCTGGCTCCAATTCAACTTCCTCAATGTCGCCGACAACTTCTACTTTGGGACGTCTCTCATCTGCCCTCAAGAGCTGTGCAGTCACCTCTCCCACTTGGGTGTCGTACTTGATAGGCTGTTTGGTTGCCTTCAAATACCACGCCCGGGACACTCTCTGGGATCCCCTGGCAATTCCAACTCCATGGGGGGTTGGGAATTTTATGCACAGATGACGAGGTGAGATGACACACTCTAAATCTTCCAGTCCGGGTCTGCCCAGAATGATGTTTGTGTTGGAGATTATCCCCACCACAATGAACTCCATGTCCAACTTTCGGGTGGCCTTAGTATCCCCTATTTCGACCGGGAGGGTTATTACCCCCTCCAGTTCAATAGAGTCACCAGTGAACCCGGTCAGTGGAGTTTTGATGGGTGATAATTCATCCCTTGTCAAACCAAGAGCCTTGTACGTATCCATATACATGATATTAACGGAGCTTCCCGTATCCACAAGGGTTTTATGGATCAGTAAGTCGATTATATCAATAGTAATCACCAAGGCGTCCCTATGGGGGACCCCTGTTTCTGGCAGATCAGCATTAGAAAATACGATTGGCTCAGTTTTCAGCTTCTTACCTTCTGGGACCAGCACCTTGTTGACCATCGCTGCGTTGGCCCACTTTTTCCGGCTCGTGGCTGAATCTCCGCCAGTATTCCCTCCAATAATGAAGTTACACCCGTGGTGTCTCTTCTGGCGGTGCGGTGCGGGTTCCGAATCCTCCTCTTCATCTTCGAGCCCGATGTGGCATTTTTCCTGGGTCTCAGCCTGGGCCACATCCTTATCCCTATGCTTCCCATTCTGAGCGTTCCCGGGATTTCCTGCGTCACCATCTTGTACAAACTTCTTTAGATGGCCACGGCGGATTAGCCTCGCCATCTCATTCTTCAGGGTATAGATATCCTCTGTGTTGTGATCATTCTTGCGATGATAAGCACACCATTTTCCAGTGTTCTCCACATTGCACACCTTCTGAGAATAGGTTGGATAAGTCATGAGTCCCTGCTGTGCAGCATGGGCCATGACCTCAGCCACCGGCAACGTGAAGACTGGATTGGCGGATTTGTGCTTCTCCGAGGTCCCAGGGCTTGTGCCCTTTGGGCCATCCGGGAAACCCTGCTTCTTGCTCTTGAACGGCTTCTTATTTCCCGCCTTCTCTTCTTCTTTAGGAGTCTTCTCTTTCTTCTCCTCCTTTCTCTCCTCCAGGGTCACATACCTCCCGGCTCAGACCATTGCTTCTTCGAAGGTATCCGGGGGATGAGTTGTAAGATCGGTGTGAAGGAGTCCGTCTTGTAATGCCTCCGTGAACATGGCCAACCTGGATTTGTCGTCGGTTCCTTCAACCTCCCTGGACTCATTTCTCCATCGGATAAGGAAGTTCTTCAAAGATTCTCCGTGCTTCTGCCGCACTGAAGCCAGATGAGTGAAATGCTTCTTGGGACGGCAATTCCCGGCAAAATGCTCTAAGAACCGCAATCCCAGTTCATCGCATGTCCGGATCGATCCGGCAGGAATGTGGTTGACCCAATCTGCAACCTTGCTATCAACTGTCTGCAGGAAGCACCGACACATTAGTGCATCGCTGGCGTCAACGGCAATCATCACCTGGACATAGCTGTTTATGTGTTCCTGGTGATCCGACTCCCCATCATAACGCTTAACGAACGGCATCTTGAATCCCTGCGGATATGGTTCCGCAAAGATCTCCGGGGCTAAGGGAGTATTCGTCCGAGTAGTGAATACTCGTCCCCTGTTTATCTTTCTCTGCATCTCCTGGATCTGATGCCTCAGATCCTGGAATTTGCCCGCTTCTGATACCGGCGGCCCCAGGCGCTGTGGTGCTGGGACCCTGACTTGGCTTTGAACTTCGTCCTCATCCAGAACCACCAATGACCGGACCGGAGCTTGGCTCCCACTGCGGCCGATTCGCTGCTGGGGTTCGCGATTAGAAGATGCCACCTGGCTGGCCTGGGGTCGTACCCAACCCTGGGGTGCCTTGTCCAGATTCTTTCCCAGCCTCTGACTAACGTGAGCCTTCTGGTGAGATATCCATTCAAAGACAGTTCCCCGCGGGTTTCTGTTTCCACTGCCGACGACTTGGCTTGCAGCCTTGGCCCAGTCTCCATTCAACTTACTATTCCGGACCAACTCCTCCGCCCGACGTCTAGCGACGGCCTGTCTCTCCCTCTCGACCTCCTCCGGATCATGAAGCTCCTGGAGGATGGGAGAACTCGCAGTACGCAGGACCTGGCGGGGTTGCCCGACAGGGACGTCCCGGGTACCGGATGGACCAGGGAGAGCCTTATCTAACCATTCCATAATGTTGGCCATCATGTTAGCCACATTATTCAACGCCGTCTCCAACCCATTGACAGGAACGATCATGCCCTGTTCAGGGCTGTCACTCCTCACCGTCGATTGGGCAGAAATAGCAGCGTTATGTCTCGTCCTTCGTCCGGCCATAATCTCACAGTTTTATCTCCCAGTTATCTCTCAATGAAAGCACCAATGATGGGATTAACCCGATCAGATGGCGGACCAAGAACGTAACATGGATCAGGAAGATATAATCTCGTAGTAATATTCTTTGATTAAGTGCAGAATTGCTTGAGTCGTCCCCACAATGGCGGGTTCTTTTTCCTTTTATAGTACTTCTAACATTGTAATTAAAATTATACATAATGGGAGGGATTATGGAGATGATGGGGTTGTGATTCCCTCTTTTCCGGTCTCGTTCTCTCCCCATCTCGTCCATAATCTGGTGGTGTGGGCCACATGTCCCGCTCCTTCTCTGGACTGGGTCGTCTTGATTTAATCCATGATTGGGCCGTCCCTTTCCCATCTGCCATGCGTGTAGTAGTGGGCTCGGCCCGTTACCCCCACCTGGCCTTATCCATATTGTGCTATTATGGGCCTTTATTGGGCCTGGAGCCTGGTCCATCAGACACGATATTCATCACCATGTTCTCCGGACATAAAAAACCGACAGACGTGATGCCGTGCTCCATCATATGATCGTGCAACAATCTAGTAATTTCACATGTAACTAATAATTACATTTATAAGAAATAATTATAATTATAATAGTAATTTATTCGTACGTAGTGCTTGACATACCTCAAGAAAACAATGATGATGGTCTAATCGACCTCCTCCCATCGCATGAACTCACGGATATTCTCCGGACGCATCCTCAGCTTCATCTCCTCCGGATAGAGCATGGACTCGGGATCGAGAATGACGCTGATGGTAGGCAAAGCACATGTGCGTGTCAGCCACTGACACAACTCTCTGCACCTCGGCCCGAATGAGACGTATGAGCTCCAGTCAACAACATCCTGTATGGGAGAGCTACGAATATTTTCAAAAAAAAGATATATGAAACACAGCCCAAATGATGTTGAATAAAAAAGAACTAAATTTATTTACTTTATATCTCTAAGGCCCACCAACGATTTTGGCCATGCAACGAAGCTCCCCTCGCAATTGGCGACAGTCTCTATATGCTTAGTCGAACAAGGAATGGTATACTCACCCATTCCAGGAAGCACAAGGGTCACAGAGACCTTAACCTGGTGAGGAAGGAGGGGAACACCGTGCACCACATCTCCCGGTGCACGTGGGAAAACTGATCCATGTGCCACTACATAATCGGCTGGATCAGAGATCCTCAAGTAACAAACAGCAACCTACAAAAAACAATTAGTAAACTAATTTCGGAAACAAGTAAACGTAAACCAAACTTGAAACCTAAATTAAAAAATATATGTACATTAGTGAGATCGGCGAAGCCAACAAAATGTGTAGACGCCTTGCTACTACACTGCCCATAATGAGGTGCTACAGAAGGTGTGTGCTGCGAAATGGCTGCAAAGGGAAGGAAGACGCTGCAAAAGATCCTCCTCATTCATATAGTTACCTTCAGGCTTACGAGGCTTCATGTTGCCTTTGAAAACTTTACGTAAGCCCGAATATGACCCAACACCCCTCGTCCGCCCCGAGTGCTCGGCAGTCCCTAAAGCTCTAGTCAGTACATCATTGTGCCTATCTGGCACAAAGGTACCGGCTGCGACCTCTTTCTTCAGCTGGACCTACAGTTAAGAAAGAAAAGAAGTAAAGAAATTGTAAGCAAATAATAAACAATTAACAAACAAATATATTGACGTAATTGTAGATTATATGCTTACTATCCTATCACGAATCTCCATCAGTGCAGGGTCCGTAACTTCTTCATGCCTCCCCGGGGTGTGACCTCGCAACCAAGAGTCCTCCCCTCCGAGCTGAGAACCCGTCTCGGTAGACGAACCAGCGATATCGGTAGAAGTGGTGGCCTGAGAAGCAGCGGCCAACTCACGCTGAAGCATGGCATATCAACCCCGGACCATATAGTGCGGATAAGGATTCTTCTTCTGTATATCCCCATTCTTCTTGCTCAAAGCCTAAAACAATTGTTTAAAATAAATTAAAATGTCAGTTAATTTCATTCAATGAAGGTAATTATGGTTTACCTTAGCTTCCGGAGTCCCCATCTGGATCTGAAACTCCGCCCAATGCTCTGGCTCTATGAAGGTGTAAAGATCAAAAGGAGTCTCACCGTAATGATCCCCACCTTCCGTCAAATAGGCTGCTTGTAAATATGTCCTGAAAGCGTGATGTCTCGACCCGGCAACCATCATGACATGCCGGATCCCACTAGGAGGTATCACATATATATATCCTACAAGAAAATGAAGCAACAACTTATTATATATAGAACCATGTAACAATTAAAGGTAGTAGATTTGGATAAATAATGTAACGCCACGAAATATCGCCTAAATTTTATTATAAAACAAAAGTAGTTTTGAATATTATTTTTGGTCCAATAAAGAATATTTTTACGTTTGACCAAAAATGAAGGGATTTTCAAAATAATGACTTTTTATTAAAAACATATTTTTATGGAATGTCTTGAAAAGACGAATCCAACGATACATTTTATGAACCAATCTGATTTATAGATTTCAAGCTATGACAATTTTAAATATTAAAATTTATAACTTTGACCCATAAATTAAACTCAATTCAAAAGAGATTTCATAAGATTAGAAATATTAATCTTTGACACTTGAGAATACCATATTCATCATTTGGATTTAATTTATATATTTTTTATCTCATTCATATTATTAAATTAATTTATCACTGGGACAGACCCAGATATTAAGAAAAATAAAAGTTCTCAGAAAAATATTTTGATTACGTCAAAATTCTAGTTTTGACAGTCTAATTCCAAAAACACAATCCATTTTCAATTCGGAACAGTTTGGGCGAAAAAGCGTGTACCCTTTAGAGTAAACTGTTCAGTTTGGACAAAAGTCCAAAACTAATATTCTAAAATCCCTCCCCAATCACGTAAGTCACTCCACTAGCCACCCTATCCATCATAAGAAATCCACTAACTCTCCACTAACATAAAACTCCAAAATCTAATTGCCATTATTATTACTCCTACTCTAAATTATTATCACCACCATCATCATCAAACACCACCATCATCCATCCCATTCTCTCTATCGGCAACCAACCCCACTTATCTCCATGGTTGTATGTTAAGGAAGAAGAAGAAGGAGCAGGAAAATCATCCAAAGTTTCCAAGTCTTGAGTCCAAAAACGCAGCAGCAACTTCAAGGTAAAAACTGAAATTTTCCATCCATTATCTCGAAATCATATATATATATATATATATATATATATATATATATATATATATATATATATATATATATATATATATATATATATATATATATATATATATATATATATATATATATATATATATATATATATATATATATATATATATATATCTTTTAATATAACATTTGAGAGTTGATTAAATTAGATGATGACATTTGTACTTAATGAGAGTTTATTTTATTGACAAATCAGCGTCCACTTGTCATTCTTCCGTGCGTTTTCCAAGCGGAAGAAAAAAGGAAATTCCCAATCTCCAGCGGAACCTTCTTCGTCGTCCCTTCTTCACTAAATTTTCACTTTGTGAGCGAAATATGGGAAGCTTGAATACAAGGTAATTTCATTATATTCTCAAGTCTTTCTAAAATCCAAATAGTGTCTCCTTCATTCGAGTCATTGAACTGCTTAATCGGTAAGCTTTAATTGATTTGCTTTTTACGGATTCTTAGGGTTTATATTGGGTGTTTCTTGCTCAATCGAAAAAACACACTGGCAGATCTAGAAGCTATTTGTTTTAAATTGTTTTGTTTCTATGCCGAAATGCATTCTAAGCCTTGCCAAATTTGCGTTTTCTCCAAATTTTAATGCAATTTCCCCCCTAAATTAACATGGAATTCCATGTTAGGAATTGGTTTGTTTCCCCCCCAAATATCCCTCACCCCCTCCATTACCACAAAAAAAGGCAAGTAACATTCAAAAAAGAAATACTACGGTAAAAAATAAAAAGAAAATAAAATGAATGGTGTAGAGGCAAGTGGTGTACATTAGGGGTACACCCTAGCATCTCCCTTCCTAAATTCATAGGCAATTTTAGAAAAAATCATTTGAAATTGCATTTTTTCCTAAATTCGTATGATTCTTTTTTATCTTAATTATTATTGAAATTGCTTTTTTCCAAAATTCATATGAACTTTTTTTACCTAAATTAGTATGCAATTCTAGAATCTATACTCCTTCGGGGTTGGGACAATGTCTAGAGTGGAGGATACTAAAGTTGTTGTTCAACAGCTGGATGTATATGTCAGTTTCTTTCACAAAATAGTAATCATTTTAGTGTACATAACACTAAATGTTGGCAATTTTCTTTATGAGCATTTTGTTAGAAATGAGAATTGCTTTCTTATTTAAGTTTTGATGAGTAATTTACTTAGTATAAAAAGATTTTAGACATATTTGTCTCTTGAACTAGAGGAATGCTTTGTTTCTCTGAGATTGGACTTTTGAGCAATGGGTGGTATCATGGGTCAGAGGTTTATAGGGGCAATTTGTGGTGTCATATTCACATTCTCACTATGAACACTCTCACTGAAAATTGGCATTGTTTTTTAGTTTGAACATGACAAAGAAGACTAGAGATTGATGTCATGGTTCTTGCTGATAGAGATGTTGTTTGTATTGACGAGTTTGATGAGATGAATGACCAAGGTTGCCTGTCTATACATGAGGTTATGGAGCAGCAGACTTTAACAGCTGCTAAAGCTGGAATGCATGCATCATTGAATGCTCGGTGGAGCAAACAGTATTCGGGAAACTTTACTTCATGTCATAGGTACAATATTGAACTCAATCTATGCTTGGAATATATTTATAAATTGTATCCCTATACTATTTCACAAAAAATATTCTTCTTCCTTAAATGACAATAAAATGAATTTCTCTCACTTCTGAATATGTGCTCAATAATTTTATCACAAATTCACATCATTAGGAGATTAAGCATCATGCACTATACTAATTTAATCACATAGTTTCGTTGTTTAGGTATGAGAGAAATTTTGTGTAAATTTCATATACAGTATATCCTGGCTTCATATGGAAAATTTCCCACTGCATTCCTTTTCACTTTATGCCTTTTTACTTTAAGCCTTTTGTGTAAATATTGAAAAACAAGATGTAGCTTCTTTAGTTTCAATTTTGTTTTCTTCAAACAACCATGCTACACTTACACCAAAAAATGTATTCCAAAGTTACACCAAAGGTATACACTAACATTTTGAGGGTTCACACTGACACAAAATGCTGGTGCATTTTCAAAAATTTGACAAAATGCTGGTGTGTTTATATTTTGAGGGTTCACACTGACACAAAATACTGACACAAAATGCTGCTGATGAGTAGATTAATAGTGAATACATATGATGTGGTAGGTATGTTATAAATTAGTAGAAAGTATAAGTTTTCCATTATAAGTTTCAAAGTTTTGTAATTCCATATATTAACCACTTAAATTTACATAAATACTTAATTTCATAGTAATTCTTATTTTGGATATCTCTTATTTTTTCGAACTGATTCTTAATTTAGTACGGAGTAGCATTTATATCAAATATTTTGGTCATGTGGATTCATAGTGGATGCATAAAAATTCAACCGTAAGGGAATATATACCCAAATATGACTCTTGATACTAATTGAGGAATGTGATGAAGGTTGTGAGTCTCTTTGCTTGCAGATATGCCTGGAAATCAAGATGATGCTCAAAAGGTTTATACGTGAAAATTTGCCAAGAATGCAGATATGCCATTAATACATGAATGCTACATCGTGGGATGTAGAAGACTAAACTAAATGCCAGCTTGGCCTGTACAAGTAAGGTTTATGAGCAGATCTTGGGATGGTTTTGTGATGTGAACAAAGGAGCATGAAGAGCAATCCTAAATATTTTTGGTGTGGTCACATTCCCCCATCTCCCCCAACTCAGCCTCATAGATGGGTTTGCCAACCCATACCTCATAGACTAAGAAGAAAGTATTATCATTGTTCCATGGGATGCTCCTTTTAATGCATTTTGAAGGTCAAAAATAGCAAAATCATTTAGAGTGATCAAGGAAAAAGAGGTTATATAATCAATTAAAGCTAAATTTTATAGTTGGTCCTTCAAGTTATTGCATAATTCATGATTCGTCTTTCAACTTTGAAAATTTTACAAATATTCCTTTAAGTCATCATGTTAGTGTTGCATGGTTAGCCTTCCACTTTAAAAACTCTACGAATAGTCCTTCAAGTCACGTTAGTGTTGCGTGAGTTAGTCTTTCTGTTAATTTTGTTCTTACTCCATGCATTCTTTTTGTTTTACATTATAAATACACGTGGGAAATCTTCTCTTTTTTCATACAGTTAAGTCATTTTTTATATATTCATTTTAATTGAATTATTGTTAAAAAATCATACTTAGTTAATTGTAACAAGCCACAATTTTATAAATACGTTAAGACTAAGTGATTATTTTTTTTATCAAAATAAAGTCATAAAATCAAAAGCAACTTATTTAATTTAAAATATTAGAGTAATTAAATTAAGGTAAAACTATCTATTATAATGGACCTATATTATTTGATTCATTCCTTACTATAATATTTGACAGTCATGTAAGTAAGTTGTTGACAACTATCATCTTACATGATAAATTTCAAAGGACATGACATATGAATAAATTACATGTAAATTACATGACATGTTTTAAATGCTCATTCATCATTTGTGAAAAAATTTATTTATGATAGCCTTGAGAAGTTGATGAGTTTAAAAATATATACCCCGGAGTATTTTATATTTAAAAAATTATAGACTTTTGAACTTATTGAGAATTACGTAACTGAAATAAAACTTATATTTATCTTAAAAAAATTAAATGAATTATTCATTAAAAAAATTAATTATGATTAGTCTCTGACATTCTTCATAAAATTACAATGGTATTAAAAATATTTTGAGTAAAATATAAATTTTTTAATAACCATTAATCTATTTTTTTGTATGAAAATTTGTTGAGTTAAAATATAGCTCATCTTATATCACCTAAATAAAATAAATATGAAAAATTTATCAAAGAATATTAGTTCTTTATGGGTGTTAATAGTATATTCAATAATTTTAATAACAAAAACTCTATGATATAATTTATTCCATAACTTTTTTTAATAATTACTCCGGAGTATAATTTGCTTAAATATATAACAGAGAATACAAAAAATACGATAGTCTTTAATACTTTATTTATGAATTAAGAAGTGTTCATAAAATATAAAAAAGTTATTTTAAAATGAAAATATTCAAAAAAAAGGAAATACAACTTTTAAAATAATTTTTTTCCATCATATTTTAATAGGACTTTTTAGGCCTTTTTTTTCTTTACTAGAACATAATTTTTCATTGGAAAAAGTATAACTCCCTCTTTTACAAAGACCACCAGATTTTCTTTTTAATTTGTTTAACGGCTTGATGCAAGAAGTTCTCATTTTATGACAAATATAAGAAAATACAATTGTATGATTTCATTCACGTCATTTGATAGAAAACTACAAAAGTCTCAGAGCAATGGACGAGCATCTCCGCAGTTTATAATTAAGGGGAAAAATGATCAGAATATTGGATCTTTATTGGCATAAGAGGGGGTTGTTCCAAAATTTACTCAATTATACATATATGATACCTGAAATGAATTCTCAAACACAATGAGTCATTACACGTACTTAAAACATGTCATGTAATTTATTCATATGTCATATCATTTGAAATTTGTCATGTAAGATGACAAACAGAGGGAGACATTACATACCACGGATGGATTTGGTAACATCAGATTCTGGATTACCGTTTAAGTTTCAAAGGAGACAATTTCTAATATCTTTATGTTTTGGCATGACGATCAATAAGAGTCAAGGTCAAACATTATCATTTGTTGGATTATTCTTAACCAAATCGGTATTCACTCACGGTAAATTTTATGTTGCAGTTTCACGAATGAAAACTAAGAAAGGATTGAAAGTCTTAGTTTTAGATGACAACAATAACCCTTGCAATTACACCAAAAATATGGTTTATCCTGAAATTTTCAAAAAAAAATTGGATGTAGTTAATACATTTATACGCTCTTTTCAATTTTTAAATATATGAACTTTAGTTAGCATACTCTGTTTATGTCATATCATTCATTAAACTTCTAACATTGTATATTAAAATTGGCTATATTTTTTAATCATTTACTAAAAACGAAAATTTAACAGAGTTAAAAACAACATCCGTTCGACCCCGTGCGTTGCACGGGTTAAATACTTATATATATAAAGTAGGGTTTTTTACTTGTGGTGTTGACACCTGTCATTCCATGTAGGATCATACGTGTAGTTTAATTTTCTAGGTCAGTTGTAAGGATTGGCTTTTCTTCTTCAACTTCAGGGATTGCACAATCAAACGGACTATTCGAAATCTCCTTTTCCGTTTAGATAGAACGACGATGCGTAAATGAAATATGAGCAGATTGATCTGGGGATGGGGGTCGAGATTGAACGGTTGAGAACAGTGTGGACTCCGGATATGGACAGATATTTCGTGGACTTGATGTTGGAGCAGGTCGAGAAATGGAACGACGCCGTTCTTTGCACCTTCAGCAAGCAAGCCTAGAATCACATGGATTGTTCCGTTTGACCCACACGGAAGTTGCTGCTGAAACTCAATCCATGTATTCTATGTTACTCTATGGAGCATCCTAGTGGAGACGATGACTTTTGCTCAACCACAACTGCCGCAAGTCAATACCCTCTTTCTATTGCCAAAATGGTAAAATTCTAATATAGCACTCCATATTGATTCTCTGAATTATTGTTTAGCCATTAATTAAAGGTTGAATTCACATCATCCTATGATTATTTTTGAGTTATTTGATGTCCATGTCCGTTGATTACATTTTTTATTTTCTTAGGAATTGATTAACACCAACACTTTTAAATGTGCCTATTTTTTGAGTGTTTTACACAATTAATATTTATATTTTTGGAATATGTGAATTTGTGATTTGTAGATTTGTTTGATTAATTATTTATCAGCCCTAAGATTGTTTTTCATTTTTCTCCAGTTTCAATTGGCATTAGATTATCAAAGAAATTTGTCTCTGAGCTCATAGCCCTCAGAAAAATCAAAGTTGAATCCAAATGTTAAGGTAAGTAGTCAAGTATCTAGATTAAATTTTAAAAAGATTGGTGCACTTCAATTGTTCGATGAATTGCCTGACAAACGAAATGGAGCAGCGAAAGGGGTCAACACTAGGGAGTTCTGTACCCAAAAATTATACTCAAGTATGACATTGCATTCTCAGCTTCATTGAGGGTCAAAGGTCACAATGTTCCAGGCGGCGCGAGTAGGCAATTCTGACCAAAATTCCTAAGAAAATGGTTGCTGCCTTGCCTTCCCAATTTCCTGTCACCTCTCCCCTCTCCACAGTCCCATATGGTATCTCCAAATCTATTTCTCCTCTTTTTTATTTGTATTGAATTCCTATTTTTTAGGTTTTTATTTAATATGTAATAAAAAAAAATCCCAATATCATGCTTGCAAGCTGAGGATTTTTTGAATCGAAGTAATAGGGATTCTCTTTATTCAATTTGTTGATTTTTCAAATGGGTTTTACGAATGACTACTACAGGGATTTTCACATATGTTTCACATAACCTTGCTTATAGGTTTTTCATTGAATATGTAATCAGAAATGATTCTATATCATGCCTGCAAGTTGGATGTTTTAAAATCCAATTATTACGGATTTTCTTTATTCAATTTGTTGCTTTTCAGATGGGTTTTACAAATGATACTAGAGGGATTTTCACATATGTTTTACGTAGCCTTGCCAATTTTTTATTGTCTCTAGATAGTTGTGTATTGCTCTTTAGAAGGCAGATATATTTTGATAACTCTTTTTGTTAGGTTTGTGTTTTGATTCATGGAATGTTTCAGTGCCTTTTCACCATTATTGTGCAGTTTTTTTTATATTGCAATAAAATATCCTTTTCAATTTAAAATGAATATAGCCCTGCTCATGGACAATATTTGATTTCCGATAGCCAAATTAAGATGCTGGCAGAACACAAGGGCAATGGACAAATTCAGTGAGGGGTAAAA